TTAGAATCCTTTGAGAATATCAGATGAAAAGAAATCTTTCTCTTAAATTAACATTTTTCTTTTGTGAAAATTAACATTTGATTGCGAAAACAGCATAAATCCAATCACCTATATTCTATAAAATGACCATAAAGAGACGTTGGATTAACACACAGTGATAAAAAGAAGAGTGCATTCTAGTATTTATGAACGAAGTACTCACTAAAAGTTCCTGATGGAATTTTAATGTGACTCGGGGTGTACATTAGCACTACAGAATTATGCATTAAAGCTCTCGCTTAAGTCTTGTCTTTCTTATGATAATAGCAGCACTTATATTTATCCTGAATGAATAGACTGAAATCTGTCAACGTCAGTGTAAAATTAACTTTTTCAGAGTCTTCATTAATTATACTTTATATAAAAAACGCAGTTTTTTTTTGTAGAAGTCGACATACACATTCTAAACATACGAATTCTAATCAATAGTCGAGATCACCGCTTTTAGTTCTATTTTAAACTTTCTCGATTCTCGTTGGTGATAGATTCATTAATAAAAAATCCTTTTTCATTCTTAACTCAGAATAATAATCCATCAGTAGCCTTTTAATTTCACCTTTGCTGGGCTCATGCCTTCCCTATGTATAGAATCGAATTAAACTCAATAGGTAGAAATAATTTAAACAAGTAATTGGCCTCTGGTATGGACGCATCACTTTATCTTGGCGCTGGCCTGCCGTCTTGAGTTCCCCAACCTGTCTATAGGCTGACAGCTTTGACAGACCGACTGATAAGATAAACAAGCTGGTTGAACTTAAAATTTATTATCAACGTTGTGGTTGCTTGACAATTTCTGTTAATAATACGTTTTCCCATGAAAGTTGTTTGAAAAATAAGTAAATATAAACAACATTAGTGATGATATATGATATAAATATAATCTTCTCTGATTCGCACGAAGTGGACGTGGTACAGACAATCTTTTATTTTATGGTATACTTATCTACTGCAGATATTTTGACTTAGAATTTGTTATCTTTGTTAGAGTTAGTCCATACTGAGTATTAATACTTTAATGAATAACACTATTACACTATTTTAAAACTTAGGTTAGATTCGCAGCGGGCTTGCTTTAGCAAATTTACTTTTTATTATTACCGCTTACATTTAATCCGACAGAGTTTTTACATTTATGGATTTTGATAATTGGTACAATGTACTTGTATTTAAGTCTATAACATCGAGAATATTTATGTTCATTACTTTCATGTTCAAAACTCATTTATAATGTAAAATGTGTTTACATGAACCATTTGCGCAGGGTCTATCTAAATTTACTTAAGAGGAAACTTTTAATGTCTTATTCAGACTCATTGTTATGTTATACTATACTTATTACATACTATATTACACTCTCTTACTTTAATTTATTAGGTGCGAAATATTGTTATAATATTTCGTTTCATTTCACATCATAATAAGTACTTATTTGATTAAAAAATATTTGATAAATAGTACTTTGACGTGTCTTTTGGTGGATAAATTTGAGATAAATTACTAAGTTGGACATATTACTGTCTTATCAACTTTCATCATACTTTATCATTAAGTATTTGTTATTAAAGTACATATCAAATTAGTATTTAACATGAAACTAATGTTAGACGGACACTCTGCTGATCGTAAGGTTTTCTGATAATAATTTAAAGTTTGCTGATAATATTGTTGAAGTTGCGATAATATTGTTGAAAATACGAGTTCGCAATTATACAATTAAGTAAGTTTTACGCTAACGCATTCACTAGTGAGCGCGTTATGAATTTGTATTGAGATTTATAGTTCTTGGTTGTTACCGCTAGAGACGCTATACAGGGTTCCATACTAAAATCTTAACGCGCTCATGATCGACGGTGAACATAAACGTCAATAAAACTTACACTAAGCGTTGAGTAACTTTTGCGTGATGAAGTAATAAGCATACATACATCCTCACAAACTTTTGGATTTATTTATATAAAAATATTAACTTTATAACAATGTTACTTTTTTCCCTTTATCGAAAGAAGAAAAATGTTGAACTAATATTGTGTAATCGTATAAGTTAAAGTTTTGTATGTATATTTTCGGGGGTGACATAATCAATATGATTAAACCCTGTTTAATAAGGAGAATACACACATGGTGTATTTTTTTTGAGAATTCTAAACATCTGAAATCACAGACGAGCACAAAAGAAATGCCTTCTGAGAAGATTTTGCTAGCGAATTTGTATTTCTTTATGTTATTTTCAGTTTACGTCACCCGGGGTATCTCGTTGTTTGTGTAAACGTTACGGTCTTGGGCACAAGCGATTGTGCCTTTTTATGTAAAAAGTAACTTATTGTTGTTACAAATTTGTTGATTTACAAATAAGGTAACAAGGCCCAATACTGGAATGCCAAAAAGCTACATAGAAAACGTCCTAATTACAGTGCTTCACCTACTTATCAGTAAAGACAGAAAAATCTTATTTAAACCTATCGAGTTTTTAGCGCTCCAGCGAATAAAACCTTTTCAGACAACAGTACTTTATATTAATTTTATTCCTTGATATTTTCATTCAACATAAATGATCCATATTTTATATTTCCGCTACATCTCTTGTCTTCGGCTAATACTTGTTCTCCAGAGAACACGTCTTTGGTAGGAGTAATCAGCGTCTCGTTGCCACTCCATCGGACCGTGCCGTCACGCGCCAGCCGCGCGAAAATTAAAAACGCGCCATTTGCATAAATGATTCCGAAATTAAAATTTGAGAACTATTGTTGGTGATGAACACGGTTATGAGAGAGGTTTTTTATTATGGTTAATTACCACTGAGGTGACAAGCGGCCCTTTTTTACTTATGCTTCGTAACAATTAAATTTCAAGTTTTGCTGCTTTATGATTTTTAGTTTCTTCAATAATATTCCTATGAAATGCACTTTGATTTCTTCTTGAATGGATATTTGACAACTTCGGTGTATGATCTGCGATTTTGGATAAAAGGAACTGTTACAAAGGCAGATCGGATTGGGGATCAAAAATATACATACGGTTAGACAATATGTCAAATTCACTCAATTAATTTTGAGCTTTACCTACAATGCATTAAGGCTTAAAATTAAGTGGAGAGATTTAACAATTGCATAGCCTGACATGCTGTTAACTGTATTGTCTCGAGTTTTATGTTAACTTTTAGCGATTGTCAACGTTTGCAGAAACGCACTATGAATTGTGAAGCTCGATAGCGCTGTGTTTAGTGGTCTAACGAAGTTAAGGGACTTTTGTTAAGGCTGGTCATAGGATGGGCGACTAAATTTTTTTATCTCGAGATATACTTCGAAAGACACTTTAAGGTGCCAGACTATCTGAAGTCGTTTATACTTACTAATCCAACCTGCGCCGGCGCATAGCTCTTTCTTGCTATTCAATTTGATTCTATTCCTGAGGGCAGATCGCCTCGTATTGTATAATATTCTCTACTGGAATCGAACTAGCCCTTTTCGTGCATTGTCTTAGTACTTGAGTATCCAGAATGCCTTTGTCGCATCTTTTTAGGTTGTTCCGCTTCTTAAAAGAAGAGCTCAAAATTATATTATAGCTCGTTCGGTCTGCGATACGGTTATAAAGCAACTTTTGCAACAGTCGGTCAGTGGATGGTGTTCAGTTCAGAGGGCTATCACCACTGTTAATTTTTTAATGATATTTTATATAATCTTACGTAGGTAATAATTTATTTTGGATACGATTTTTTTAACAACTTTCTGTTGAATCAGTACAGAAAAGCAGATAACCTTTTATTAAATTCCATACTTTCATTTTTATACAGGATCATCCAGTTTTCAGTGGTTGATATACGAAACCATTAAACTTTGATTTTGATTAAATTTCTCAGCATTTGTTGAAAACAAGGTTGAAAAGCATCACCCTCTCCCGATTCAGTCGTATAAAGTTGTAACAGCGAAAAGTTTTGAATCAAAACCTCACTTTGAAACTCCACCGTACCTGATTTCCGAAGATTTATATCTCTTCTCAGTTTTCGCTTAGTGAAATTATTTTTAATGAATCACAAGGTTTTCAATCGATTATAAACGTATTTTTTATTTATTTATTCAAAGTAGGGACACTTACAGATTACAGTCATGAGTCATGACATGATTTCGACTTAAATTTATATAATACTAGCTTTCGCCAACGGTTTCGCCCGTGTGGTCCCTAGGGAAATGTTTAGTGGGATAAAAATTATCCTATTATCTAAGTCAGCTAATACCCTATCTGTATACTAAATTTCATCCAAAACCGTTCATTAGTTTCGGCATGATTGACCGACAAACATCTAAACAAAGAAACTCACTTTTATAATATTAATAGGATAGGAAATAATTGGATTGAATGGGATGCGTAATTAAAATTATCAAAATATAGTCAAATAAGTTCAGGATGGTGCGAATTCTGTGGTCTTTAAATTAAGTACTTAAAGAAAAAAGAATAATTTGGGTTTCTTTTAACGTTATTTTGTAGTCCCTTGTAAGAAGCATTCAAAGATATTATCGTAAAATTATACTGTATCCTACTAATATTATAAGTGATTTTTTTTTTAAATTTGAGAAACGGATATTTCTAACGGCTGTTTGTGTGGATTGCCTGAACATTGATGAAAAGTACGCTCTGTAGTAACGGAAAAGTAACAAACGTTTGAAGGCTTCGTCGGTCCTGTTGGGTCCTTGGTAGCTTAATGATTGGAGCGGTCGCCCGGATTACGAAGGGTCGTGGATTCGAGTCCCATCTCAGAGTGCCCGGGACGGGGTGGATTTTTTGAGTTATTTTCTTCGAGAATGTTAAAATTTACATTTCAACAAATTGAAACTTTTTAAATAAGTTTAGAAATAAGATCATGGTTTTGCAAAACCACCAACAAGATGTAGGGCTGCGGTACAGTCGCATCTATTTTAGAAAGATTTACTTGGTTTATTTTTAGGAGCTTTTTTCTTTGTCTACAGGTTACTTCGGAAAGTATCTGAACAAATACAACGGATCTTATATACCGCCGGGCTGGCGCGAGTGGGGTGGTCTAATAATGAACTCTAAATACTATAATTACAGCATCAATATGAATGGCAAGAAAATCAAGCATGGTGATGATTATCACAGGGTGAGTAAACCTATGAATATGAGTTTATAGCGGTTCATACGACGGGTTAAACTTAATCTATTGAATGGTATCGGTAAAAATGAGTTGCTTTGTTCCTAAATGAAACCAACTTTTAAACGGTTTCATCGCGTTTGTATTTATAGTTGATAGACGTTTCGGACCCTTTACAGGTACCGTGTTTACATAAGACTAAGGTGTTGAATGTCTTTTCTTCATTCCTACCGGCCGGTTTCTGAATTGAGAAAAGTGACAAAGTCTCAACGACAAAGGTCGTAGTTTTTATCAAACTGCTATCAACTAATCATTACAAAAACTAAAATCAGAAACGATAACCCGTTTAAGTGGCGGTTAAGTACAGTTTGGGATTTGGGACTGATTCAATTAAAAAACCGGGTGTATGCCTTTTAGTATTTAAGTCGCTATGTTGGACCAACATACATCGCTACTGGGAGTAGGTACTCTTAAAATCTGGTGGATTTAATAATCGTTTTGCATGTATGAGCTCCGATAATGTATAATATCTATGTTATTAGGCATTTAGTGTTTTACGAAGACATACATGTACAGACTCGCTCTCATCCCTGTATTGGTATTCTAAATTTGAACATTGTATAAAGATAGAGGTAGTTTTACTCGTAAAATATCAATCAACCAAAAATTATATAGCTCACAGAATTTCTCCACTTCTTGTTCACCGAGGTACTAAATGAAGAGCAGTATATCTTCGATATCTGACACTAGCATCGCATGCTATTTCCTGGCTGAACATTTCACGACACAACATGGAGTTTATATATGATAGGTACTAAATCAGAATGAACTATCTTCCAGGAAAATTCTATAGGTAGTTATAAAAAGTTTTTATTTGATATGGCAACGACTTGCGTAATTCCAGTTTGTTACTTAGTTGCTATACTATTACTATTAATAAGTAAATACGTGCAATAAACGGCTAGAATATCTACATATTTCAATTTTTTTTATATGTACTCGTGGTATTACAGTGACATTTACTACTTTCTGTTATTAATATCATATTAGTGATTTTAAACTCATAATCCATAGAGAAAAAAAATATTAGCAGAGATGGCGTAGGTATCCTTTAAATAGATCAAGTTATCATCATGACTAGCCTATTTAATGCCCCCACTGCTCGGGTTTAGGCTTTTCCTATAGATAGAATGGAATTAGATGACTTACCACGCGAGCTTGAGGTTGATTGTTAAGTGTTAATGACTGCAGATGTAGACGAGACCAACAGTTTAACGTGCCTTCCGAAGTACAGAGGAGCTTGAGACATTAAATTTTTGGTCATCTATCCCATGACTCTTGCGATAATAGGGATGACGACTGGGTAAAAAATTATATTAAGTCTAGAAAAATATTAGATACGTATTTTTTTTACTTCAACTAAACAAGAAATAGCTTAGCTAACATTAAAGTTGAGGAGTGGGGCCTCGCTACATCACAGTTGAGTAGAAAACGTACCATAACGTGACGTCATGCGAAATTTCAACTTCATGTAACACCGTAATTTTATGATTACGAAAAAATAAAAAGATACGTGTGTAATATTTTTTAACACTCTACCTGACGGACAAACAAACAAAAATTAGTCATCATCCCTATTGCCTAACCACCGTATCGCAGACCGAGTGCGCTTACTACTGCGCCAGCCATCGAGCTCCTCGAATTACAATAAACTTTAAGATAATTAAGCATCTCTAATGTCGATATTATTGCTCCTGTTTCCAAAGGATTACTACCCAGACCTGATCGCGAATGACTCGATAGCGTTCCTTCGTGCTTCAAAACGTCGGTTCACGAGGAAACCAGTGCTTTTGGTGATGTCGTTCCCCGCACCACACGGCCCTGAAGATTCCGCTCCGCAATATTCGCATCTGTTCTTCAATGTCACCACACACCAGTAAGTCTTAATTAAACCTTTATGCTGTCATATTCTTCATTATAGGTATTCATTCATATTCTTAAGCGGCAAATTCATTAGAGAGGTATGCCGTCAGGCAAATCTGCAGACATGCCCGCTGGATCTCACTACTAAAAAGATCTGTATAATTTGTCGGTTCTCACACAGACCTTTACAAATTTTCCGCTTTAGCTGCACTCATGCACATTGTATTATACACCTAATGCCAAATATGTTTAGTGCTTAATAGCCTTAATAATTTAGTAATGACAAAGTCATTTGTTATTTTGCGATAAAAATAATAAACAACTATTGAAACGCCATTGACACGCTATAATAATGATAATATTATATTATTGTTATTATAGGTATATAAGTTTATTTATATTATTGATATGTTATATTACATATTTTGGAATAATGCTGTTGTAATTTTAAATTACTTACCTATTTTTACTGCTATCGCTATTGTCATTTTCAGTTTTGAAATAAGTCTGCCTTTTGTACCATGATTGTGATGGTCAATAAAGTTCAATAAATAATTAAACATAAGCAGAATTGCCCACAGTGTCTCAATCTTCAGCCATTTCTAGCCATTTCGACAGACAAAATTATATACGACAAAACATTAAATATATTCTCATATACCGCATCTCAGTGATTCTATGAACGAAAGCAAGAAAAAGTTATATATATATATATATGATGGTCTACTATGACCACTACACTGCATCTGGGTACTTAGTCATATTTAACCCGTTCGCAAAAACAATGTATTGAATAGTACGAGATAACACCGGAGCGTGCCGAGCTTGGAAACCGAGTAATGAACGGTAGTTCTGCATGTTCGTTGATGACGGAATGGTCTTGTATATAGCTCGTGGATAATTACTATTTATATTTATCCTGTAATGTAAATCATATTTTTGCTTGGTACGTCCCATAGTCATGGTAGTGTACGGTGTAGTGAACAAATGACTCTAAGAACCGATTGAATGTTATTTAAGATTTAATTAGTATCAGTCCTATCTCCGTTGGATCTGAAAATATTGAGAAATGCTTTATTTGGAGTCGTTAGCTTACGAAAATAGACAAATTTTCCATTTCATAGAAGCAGATTTGAAAACTTACGTCTTAAGATCTACCTTCTGGCATCATTTGGAGAAAATTTTAATTCGTCAGTTCATAGAAATAAATTGAGCAGATTTTTCCGACACATTTTGCACTCATCACGTTAATTTTTCTGTAGACGAGGAAAACGAATGACAAAAGCAAAGTCAAGTGGCGCGAGCATAATTAGTAAGTCGAAACGGGAAGATCATTACTCACAAACTCGCCACGCACATAAAAGCAAGCGATAAAACTCGATTTAATGAGCGAAGAATATCAGGGAAAGAGCCTCGCGGAGTGAGTTTGGCACCCAAAAGCTTAAGACCCGGCTCTTGTCGAACTAGTCAACAGTAGGAAATTTATTTTTGATATCATAGAATTTTGTAAAAGGTATAATTTTTTTTAAAAAGGATGAACAGCAGAGCCGTCGTATGTGAAATTTATCAAGTTTAGGTATAGTTTAAATAAAACAAAATGTAGTTATTCTGCGATTGCTACAAAGCGTCGTGCGTGAGCCCGCGAGAGGCACTTTTATGTATTTAATTTGGGCAAATTTTGAGATAATATTATCGACTTCTTTGAGTAAATTATGCTCAATATTCATTTGGGTCCTGCCTCATCGTGTTCCGCAGTTCATTTTTAACGAGTTTCAACGTAGAAAATGAACGTTCACCACAGCAGTTGGTGATCATTAAAGACGAATAGATGCGCAACTGTGAGCCGCAACATAAGCCGATACCTAAAGCGCTCCAGAAGTTCTTTAATTCTGTTAACTTTGAGGGGGAAACGCCAAAAGCGTGGAACAAGATTGGGGTCGTCCTGTTTTTTAAAAAGGATGATAAAACACTCTTTGAAGAACTACTTACATAAGGACATGTTATTTATGCAAAACTCTTAACCGCTGCTTTTTTGTGTTGTAGCTGACATGCTATCGATCTCAATGCGTTATCTCGCTTCATCCTGCACGGTATCCACGAGTTATGTGGGACCGAGTCCGGTCCCGAACAGTCCCAAGGGGACTACTTTCCGCGCATACCGTCCCCGTACGACCTGGCCCATTACAGGGCAGGTCTCGTCTTGGGTAAGGGGAAGGGCTCAGGAACATTCGAGTCCAGCCTCCCAGACAGGACAAGGGGCGTGGAATGTTCAGCGAGCACGCTAATTTCCTGCTGTTTTTTTTTATATAACAACTATAAAACAACAATTAACTTAGATTGAAAAAAGATTATATGTTTGTTACGACCGTACACAAAAATCTTACATTTTTTAAGTGTATTGAAATTGGGAAGAGCTAAGAACACTGATGTGATGAGTAAGGAATTCAAAATTAAAATAAATTGTTGTGGGTTGAGTGAAGAACAAAAATAGGATGAGTAAGGAAAAATTATGCATAGGATGAGACGTCATAGGATGAATACGAATCAACCCGTTAAAAATTCAAGTAGTTATGGAGTATGAGTACCGTCGTGACAGACTAAACTATGTGAATAGGCTAGTAGTACGTTTAAAAGCAGAATAGCAAGAGAATACACTGTTGTCAGTGCACTATGGCCCTTTTTTTGTGTTCGAAATTTTCAGGTACCCTTGCGGTGCGGTGCCCTGAATAATTTTGCCAGCCGGCTCGTGCGAGGCGATTTATATTTCATGAGGATGTTTAGAGCTATACGTTGGTTTCTTTAAAAGTTTTTTCGACGTTGCAACCGCAACGAAACTCGACGAGGTCAATAAGAAAGAAACTGAATAATGTTTTATATCTAAATACGATCTCAGTACCTACAGCTAAATATTGTGATGGAAAATAAATATTTTGTACCTTTACGTAAAAAAAAACAAACATATTTTAATTATACTGAAGTGATAATGTAGACAGGAGAGTTGTTAGAGGGTACATCTGTTGTCAATATTATCGTACCTATGAGTTATTTAAGTAAAGAGAAAAAGAAAAATCGTAACTCTTTACTTGATTGTAATACTTTTTATATATTATAATACTTTAGATATTTACTAAATATTATATTTATAATACGCATGAAATATCAATGAGTCGATGAGTAGGTATTCCTTTGTGTAGGTTACAAAGAACTTTATTTTGCTAATCTATTATAATTAATTTATTAATATTATGGTGATTGACGGAATCATTTATATTATATTAATTTCATTAATATTATAATGCAACTTCAGTGTACGAAATCGTTTTCCGTAATATTGCCAAGCAGGGCGCAAGTTGAAAACACCTTGAAGATTATCTGTGCATCATATCGCCTTTGCATCATAAATTATCGATAATGCTTTTCTTTGGAGTCGTATAAAATTTCGTTTTCAGAGAAATACAATAAGCCTTCTGGTTTCATGTTATTTCGTACGACTAGTACTTACTTATAATTTCGTCGTCTGTGTTTACAAGTCGTAGTCCTACAACTTCACCGTAAAGACGAGTATGAATAGCTTTTAAGATAAAATGAATAATGTGACAGTTGTATTGTTAATTACTTACTATATATCTGCAAATAAATGTTGCCCTTGTGTATTTATCTCAATATTTATCAAATTGTCCCTCTATACCTTTTTCACTGATTAAAGTATATATAGTTAGAAACAGCGACGTTAATTACTCGCATTATGTTTAAATCTTAGATTGTATTTTCTTAAAAAAACTTATAATGTCTGTCTAATCTTAGAATAATTCTGATGTATGCTTCTTCTTCTTCTTTTTCTAAAAACCTTATGTCTTTTTACATTCACACAATTCGACCAATGTTACATTGGTATCCTATTCACGTATCTATATAGACAATAAAAATAATAATTTTGAAGTAATTTAAGAAAAAAATCTTTAAACTAGCACATCTATCAATTATAATTTAAGACATGAATTGGTAGGAATTTTGATAAAATTTTGAATAAACTGGATTTCTCCGTACTCAGGATAACGTATTATATTAATTGACAGGCATAGAGATTTTTTTTATATGCCCCAGGTTTACCGCAGATACATTGGGTAAGCCATATTAATTTTGTTTTATTGCTAGAACACATTTATTTAAAGAAAAACGTTAAAATATTTTTTAATAACATAGTCGGTGGACACAATCAGCAATAAAAAATAAACCATTTCGTTAACTTTTTTCGCTATAATATTTTATTTATTTGTAAAATCGTGCCGTATTGAATTCTTATTTAGTATTATTATATATGCAGTGAAGAGTAAAGGTGCCTATTGATCGCAGACAATATATGTGCAGAATCATAGATGAGGTCAAATCTCTCAAGACATACCTATTTGATGTTTTCGACCTCCATGTTCAATCAGACATTTTGTTTATTATAAGTAACTTGTGACTTGACCCGGTTTCGAAAGTGTACCTAATTTCCATATAGCAAGCTTCCATTCGGCTTGGCTTTATGTACCTATTATTAACTATCATCGTCATACCTAACTAGGTACTACCAATCAGTCAGCAAACAATGTATATAGAAATACACACAGTTAATAATGAAAACAATACTTATGTAAAATCAGTTTGATAATTTTTGAATTTAGTTAGACACGGCGCAACAGACTTCAACTAACTTTAGTAAACGCCGGTCATCAGGTAGGTGACCAAAAATTTATTAACTCGAGTACTTCTGTGCTTCAGAGAGGATAGTACTGGGCCTATCTATCCATAGAGAAGGTATGTCTGAAGACATGAAGTGAACATTGGTAGCCTGTTGAATAATATCAATTCGTGTCTGATAAACTGGTTCTCTCAAAAAATAAACAAAAATAAAAAGTACATCGAAGTCACATTTGCCATAAATTATCGTTCAGCGGACAGGTCGCGGTAATTGTCGGCGTATAAAAAGGACAGGATGCAAATAAAACGTCCTCAAAGCATAATGTTGTACTCAATGATAATCGCAGGCGATGAAGACTGAGTATTGGCGATTTCATTCGAATATAAGCTTTATTTTATCAATTTTAAAGGATGTCTATTACATCATCTTATGTTCAGCTTAATTATATTTGTATTTTAGTAATTACCGTTAGATTTCATGGTTGTTTTATTATTATAATAAAGACTGATCTACTATAAAATAATGTTTTAAGTTTTAAATAATAAAATTTTTCAAATATTGCCTTGTCTATATTTTTAATGTCAAATACTTAAAATATCCACTTTATCCCTAGCACTCTGAGATTGGACTCGAACCTCTCACAATCCGGGCGACTGTTCCTAATCACTGAGCTACCCAGGACCTGACAGGAATGACGAATCTTTCAAGGGCTTGTTAATTTTTCGTTACTAAAGAGCGTAATTTCATAATTGTTTAGACAATCCACCCAAACAGCCAAAAGAAATATTTTCACATATTGAAATTGAAACGTTTATTGAACGTTTCAATTTCAATCACATATATTTAAACTTAAAAAAAATGATAAAATTGAATTAAAAAATATTCTTAATGAAAAATGCTTAAAAAATCCACTTTGTCCGTGCCACTTTGAGATCGGACTTGCCTGTACCTATTTAATAGATCTCAGGATGATTTTTATAGTGTAACATTTATATTGTAAGTGAATGTTTTTTTATTATCTAACTTTTTTGTCTTTGTTTCGACCGCGTTGTCAGTTATTTCTTAAAACGCAAAATACTTGGTTAAAACAATGACCATAAAAATTATTAGTATTAATAATAATCTTTATACTTAAAAATAATTAAGTAAACACATCAGTTAAATACATCGTTACATAGATTCACATTTCTATATTTCGCCATCTGTTCGACAGACATCAGTCAAGTTAAATTTATTTATTTTATGTATGTAGATCGTGGGTAAAATATTTATTCTCGGATCAGCCGACTGGGCGGCGCCGGGGTTCAAACCTGGAACATTTAATATTCAGGCATCGCGCATTGTGTGGTCGCTCCACGATAACCTGTAGCGGTTGATAGGGTTAACATATATTAAGGAATATTGAGGATAACATTTTTTTAACTTCTCAAGGTATACTATATCCAGAAAATTTTGAATAATTGGCAAAGGAAGTGTGAAGAAGTCAAATATATAAATTATTTAAAAAAAATAAATTAGGAAAAGCTGAGTAATGTCACTATAGTTATGCAAAATAAAACATAATATTATGATCTCATTCGTAAACTTATGTTCTCTTAAACTTATGTTGTCACTCGTAGAATCATTATGAAAAAAATATTCTAACAAAATAACTCCAGTACCCTTAGCACGAAAATTATTGGGTTCGAATTGAATTCGTATCGATATAGCAAAGATTTCTGTTGATATTTGCACAGCGCTATCTATCCAGTAAAGGAAAGTAAGATTTTCAATACGAATTTATTTTTTGGAATTTTTTGAACGGTTTTGTGTTGTGCTATGTAAAAAGAAAAATGGCATTCACCCAAAACTGTCCTAATAAAGTCGAACAGTGTGGTTGCCCTTCCAGACCAGGACAATCTTCCAATAAAACGTCTGCATATACTGCCGGCTGACGATACCGAAATGTCTTAATTAGTTTTTGGTTTAATCATAAATAAAAAATCGCAGTCGTTCGAACTCGTTTATTATTAATGCATTTTATTACGAATAAATGTAATAGTGAACGAGCAACAAAACTAACGAGTTGGTTTATTTATCTTTATTTTTAAGGGCCCTATAATATAACATTTATATAATATAAAATAGTCAACTTGATCTCGCAATTAAAAATATATTAGGTACTAGTTTTGTCTCATTGAATAGTGCAGAATTTGTAAATAATTTGTAAAAAATATTGTTTAAACCCAAAATTGTAGTGAAAGATTCGCAAAAAATGCGTGATGGCACTTTTATGATCTTCTGGAAACAAATGTTATCTCTTATATAACCGTATCGTTAGTCGTAGCGGCCTTAAAATTTTGAAATAACATTGATTAAATATAGAATTATCAGAAATATTTCGAAAATAGCTACAAGTTAATTTCTCTTATCTATGATAATAATTGACAAATTTTATACCAGAACAACTATTACTTTATAAAGAATAAAATTTCATAATTTTTAAGCACAAATTAATTAGATATTCTATTTTAATTAAAAATAAATATAACTGCAAAATTACTACAACATGTGATGTGCCGCTCAGGCCGTCCGAGCCCAATTTGTACGGCAGTATAGCGAGTTTGTATATTGATTCTTTTTTTTTTCATATTAAAAGTACTTTTGGGATCTTAGATGTCATTTTATGTTTATTTAAGCATTATCAGCGGCGAGGAAACCGTTGAGTGCAGTGGTTCTTAACCGATGGTCACGGACCACTGGTAGTCCCTGGACTCATCGGATATATTCATGGAGCCTCATAACATTATTACCTACTATAAAATATAATCTACCTGTATAATAATTTTATCCGCTTTTTTTTAAATGAATGAAAACACTTTATTACTCTGGACTTAGTTATAGCATATTAAAAACATGAACCCGCTTTTTGTCCCTGGGAAAAATTCTAATAGCTCAGATTTATATTGTGCTCACAGAAGCTCTGCAAACCATGTGTACCAAGTCTTCCGTAAGGATAAAGTATCTCTCCTTAATCTCCCCTGTAAACGTAGATAGAAGTCCCACCCGCCTAACTCTCTAGCTATGACTCGAGCTAATTCCATACGAAAGTTTTCTTCATATTATCAAGGAAATGTTAACGATTATTGATAAAATTAAATGATAAAATAAAACCGATCTTTAAAAAAATATCATAATTGTATATCATTATTTATATCATAATTATTTAAATCAAATTATTATATTTGATCAATTTTATATTAAAAGTTTTATAGTGGAAAACATTCTTTATGAAAAATGCTTTAAAAAAATCAAACCCCATTTTAGACTAAATGGGGCTGGTGGAATTTTTAAGCAATTTTGAAACCTTAATATAATTCAGAAAAGTAAAAAATGAAAATATTGGTTTATATATTTTAGTAGACGGTCGCTCTGCTCCCTTTTTGCGAATACTTACGTTACTTAAAATTATTGATAATATAATCTCAATTTTAACCCACAGCACACCAACGTACGATATGGCACCAAATCCTGACAAGCAATGGATTCTACGTGTAACAGAGAAGATGAAGCCAATACACCGGCAGTTCACGAATCTTCTAATGACTAAAAGATTACAAACGCTGCAAAGTGTCGACATGGTACGAATATTCTTATATTAATAAAATTTATTAGCGCTTTACTCAAGTGTCTCGACGGATTTTGATAGCATTATTTACCCAAGTCCCTACACACACAGTCCAAACTCCAGATACAAATATGGAATACTTTTAATCCTAATAAAACTCCAAGAAATAAGTGCAGCCAGTTCGCCAATAAATAATAAATGCTTATTCACAGCTTTAAAGAATATTCAAAGAAATAATCCGACAGCAAGTAGTTTTTAAACAAATTGAACCTTATTTTTACAGGCTGTAGAGCGAGTATATCAAGAACTGAAAGCTCTGGGAGAGTTAGATAACACCTACTTAGTGTACACTTCAGATCATGGATACCATCTAGGTCAGTTTGGGCTGGTGAAGGGCAAGAGCTTTCCTTTCGAGTTCGATATCAGGGTGCCGTTTTTAGTCCGAGGACCTGGAGTTGAGCCTGGCACTGTGTAAGTAACTATGTAACTAAGAATATTCAGATTTTAGAGTATAGATATTCTAACATAAATTAAAATAGTCATAAAACCAAAATGCCTTTGATTGAAATACCAGATACCAATTAATAGATCTTAAATACAAATACTGGAGAATTTTACAACGTACCACAATATTTAAAGCTGAATTACAAATTTTTAATTTTTCGAAATTATCAGCTATGCTAAACCCACTAACTATTGTGCAAATCTAGGTGCACTATACACATAGTGTAGACAAGGTAATTTAAATTCAACGTATTCTGATTTAACATTTACTTATTCTTAACCCTTTGATTACAGAGTGGACGACATTGTCCTGAATATAGATCTGGCACCAACGTTCCTGGACATGGGCGGGGTGGAACCGCCCGCTCACATGGATGGCCGCTCACTGCTGCCACTACTACAGCCACGGCGCAGGCGCATGGCAACGCACTGGCCCGATACTTTCCTCGTTGAGAGGTACACTACTTTATATCTATAAGGAGTTTCATTTTTGAAGGCACGAAATAATTATAATTAATTCCACGTTCTGCGTTTGCCAGCTGTGTTAGATTGCTATTTTATTCGAACTATTCCAGGACCTTTTTATTATTTTCACTTTAATTTCAGTTCTATCGTCAATTCTATTTCATTAATGCCGCATGTTTGTTCTTTCTATCGCTTATACTTTCCTTATTTATCGATTGGATTCGCCGTCCCAATACAATTGTCTTTTATCTTTTTTCATCATACCTTTAGTAGTAGCTCGATGGTGCAGAGGTTAGCGCGCTCGGTCTGCGATACGGTTGTTAAGCAACTTTTGCAAGGGTCGGTCATGAGATGGGTGACCAAAAATGATTACCTTGAGGTATTCCGTGCTTCGGAAGGCACGTCAAGCCGTTGGTCCCGGTTGCATTGGCAGTAATTAATACCCTTCAAGCCATGTTGGGCCAGCGTGGAGAGCCATGGCCCGTCCTCCTTAACCATCCATAAGGAAAACCTGAGCCCCTGCAGTGGGGACGTGAAAGGGCAGGTGATGATGAAGTATTTTGTAGTCCTTTGGAATTATTGTAGATAGATAGATAAAACGTTTATTATTAATAACTACACACAATTACTTACATCTAAAAAGTTTTGAATCACACAAAAAAGAAAGTTAAATCAAATAAAATTATTAATCATGATGTACCTGTGTGTACTTGTACTACTCTTTACTAAAAAAGCGAGAATGTCTATAGTTGCCAGCTTATTACAAATACGAATAGAGAAACTTGTTGCATAAAGTTTATGTAAAATTGACACGAAAATTCTGTAGACAATTTATCTTATAGAAATATACTTAATAATTCAGCAGTACCAGGTGCGATAGGACCACAGATATAGATTCACCTGGGCTAATTTTTCAAAGTATTTTTCTTTAATGGGCCCTATCAGAATAACAGCGCCTCTGTGTCATTTTGCCCATCTTGAAGTGGCACACGTGCCATCGCTGAGATAGGGTTCATGTTGACCGCTCTGTTACTTCATGGAAATGTTTGTATATTTTTTTTATGTCTTACACATTATTATTGTATCTGTTCATGACAGATGTGGTCAATAAATTACTTTCTTTCATTGTTTCAAATAGCATTGTAAATGCGGAATTGATCAAACATAATAACCTGTAGAAAAAAATATTTTCTTTCTTTAGTTCCGGTCGCCGTGAAACACAAGCACATCTAGCAGCGGCGAAGTATAGTCGACAAATGAATCAAGCAACCAGCTCTCCAGGACACGATACTTCTTCAGAAAGTGTTGACTTAAACGACGATCTTGACGACGATGACTTCTTGGAACCTGACGACGAGGAAGATGATGATGGCGACGATGTAAATATAAATACGATTTAATTTGATGAAAAAAATCATCATTTCTGACCCGTGGAACATCAAAGTGGTTTATCTAGGTGTCCCACAGTTAATTTTTTTTACCCCTGGTTCACCTAGGTGTAAATTTTCTATAGGGACCTTTGGTTGATCTAATTTTACGGCTAACTTTTTGCACCTCTAAATATTAAAATCTATTTGATTATTTCTACGCAGCCAAAAATGCCGTTTAAAACTTTCGTCAAGTGTATGAAGATGATGGAAACCGAGACCGCTGTCTGGCTGTACTTTAAATTGGTCCCGGCAGCAGTTGGTAATACCCTTCAAGCCGTATTGGGCCAGCGTGGAGGGTCATGGCTCATCCTCCTTCACCATCCATAAGGAAAGCCTGAGCCCCTGCAGTGGGGACGTAAAAGGACTGATGATGATGAAGTATTTTGTAGTCCTTTGGAATTAACATTCTCTCTTTTTTAGTAAAGAGTAGTAAAACTCTTTACTAAAAAAGCGAGAATGTCTTTAGTTGCCAGCTTATTACAAATACGAATAGAGAAAACTTGTTGCAAATTAATAATTATGTAAAATTGACAAGAAAATTCTGTAGACAATTTATCTTAAAGAAATATACTTAAAAATTCAGCAGTACCAGGTGTGATAGGACCACCGAGATAGATTCACCTGGGATGATTTTTCAGAGTATTTTTCTTTAATAGGCCCTATCAGAATAACAGCGCCTTTGTGTCATTTTCCCATTGGCCGTCGCTGAGATAGGGTCCATGTTGACCGCTCTGTTACTTCATGGAGACTTATCCATTCCCAGACTGTTAGAAGAAACGGTTACTAGGATTAAAAATTCGGGCTTGGATTTTGTAACTAATGTGCCTAAATTAGATAGCGTGAAGGACAGTTTGTATAATGCGAGAAACAGAGCAGAAGGCGTAACCAAAACACTATTCAGAAACTTTATGGAAGTGGAACTACCAGCCAATTTTTTAGTTTCCTATTAGCCAAGTAGGTACTACAATGACGATTCCTGAATACATATTTTTTATTCACAACAAGCAAGATCATTAATTGGATCTATAAAAGTTTTTAGGTGATGACACTTTCAAAAGTTGCCTCAAGCCTTTTCACGTTATCAAAACATCTTTCTTTTTTGCCCTGAAAATCTGTCTAATTTTATCAATTTTAACATTTAGATTTTGAATTATTTAGGATGACATGTATTTCATTAGATAGGTGAACTACCTGCAAATTATTTTGAATAGCAGAATATCTTAACCAGGGATACAAAAAATGTTACCCGTGGAACACCTAGGTAAACCACTTTGGTGTTCCATTGGTCAAAACTGAAAATCGACACTGAAATAATTTTTATATCTTTTGAAATTATTTTTAGTCAATGTGATAATTTTGGCACAGATTTTTAAAACTGAGGATTTATATTACAGGTTAGTACTGAAGGCCAATCGAGTGAACCAAAGAGTTCGTCTGAACCTCTGGTCACTAATGAGAGTCACAATCCGTTGTTGGAAGCAAGTCTTGAAAAAGCGCTAGAAGAGGCTAGCACCAACAGTCAATCTTATTATCTTAACCCTACAGGTAACAAGATTAATCAATGAATTCCGTTACACTATTTCCATAAAGAGCACAAATGTAGAGATCAATTAATTCCATACTGCTCACGGTCATACAGACTTACCTGGCGTTGTTTTACAAAAATTAAACTTATTACCTGGCGTTGTTTCGCAAAAGTTAAACTTTACCTAGTTAATTCATTCATTTTTGTTAACATTTATCAATGATAGTAGTTTTAGAATACATATTTAGGGTCTGTTTTACGTTTTTAAATATGAAATGTTTGCTTATATAATTTTAGAAGCAGATTCACCTCTATTAAATGGGAAAGCTGCTCGTCTTGCTGCAGAATGTTCAAAGGCAGAACTCAGAGCGCCTTGCTCCACCGGACGAAAGTGGAAATGTGTACTAGTCAATGGAAGGTGGCGACGACACAAGTGCAAATATGAAGCGGAAATAAGTACTCCTTCAACGAAAATGAGTACAAAGAAGTGTGCCTGCTTTACACCAAGTGGTCTTGTATATACTCGACTAGAAACTGACGGCACGATTGCAAGGCGACCTGCGGATACTAGTAAACAAAGCAACAGCACAAGAATGCGACGATCTATCGACGAAGATAATGAAGTATTTGAACCAAATACTGTTGAAAGTATTTTGAAAGAAAATCCTAGTATTGGACATCTCAGTTTTGGAAATGAACCTATCGATGAAGAGGTGAACGAAAGCTTTAGAGAAAATATTGATAAACTGATAAAAGAAACTGAGGCGTTCCTGAAAGCATACGAAAATACCAAAGAAAATATAGGTTTAAAAAGGACGAAGCGGAGAGCTCAACATTTCAACCATAATAATCATAATAAAGGTAAGCAAAAAAATAAGGATATTATTAATAGTAATGAATCAGCATTAGAATGCAAAATAGAAAAAGATGGAAGAGTCAATTGCTCTCAAGTTATATACAATGATTTGAAGGCATGGCATACGAATAGACTTAGCTTAGAAGATCAAATTCGACAGTTGAAAACAAAACTTGAAGATTTAAAAGAAATAAAAAGGCATTTAAAAACTACAAAACCAGTGGAATCCCACAGCAGCCATTTTCCAAATATTTCATATTACTTCCCTAATAAGACAGTTCATGATCATAATCATTCTAAAGAACATTTAAGAGTTGGCAGATTGCATAGGCTAAGACTGAAATCGAGAAATAACACTTCTTTTGACAAGAAGTTTAGACATTCAAACGAATATATAATGCCAACTATAAACGCTAATACCAAAGATGACGTATTTGATATACAAATGAGGAACGAAACAGTGACTGATTCTTCAACAGGTTTTAGTACTTCTGAAGTATCAGTTATTAGTAATCTGGCGAACAGTACCGACACAGAATTACCCAAACCACAAGTTACAACTATTATAATTGAAAATAAAAATTACTTGCAAAGTGAAATAGAAAGTGAAAATGGAACAACACAAAACGTGGAAACTAATACAAGTGACACAGTAACAACAGACACAGCAAAGGAGTATGAATCACCAAAAAATAATGAAGAAGTCACAACTGATCAGAGTACTGTTATTAATTTTTCTCGGACGGCACAAATATTTAGTTCTGCTATTGATAAATTATTGACCACGGAAAAATATAACTACAGCCCAACCGAAACTTACATAAGCTACTCTACGACACCAAGTGAAGAATCATCCCAAAAGTTAGGACCAACGAGATTCGATGCATCAGAATATGAAGAAAGAAACCCAAACAAAGATTCGTCGAAAAGTACCAGTGTTTTTAATAGACAGTCTAATGTATTCCAAAGAAGACTTAATCCATTGTTAATTGAAAATGAAGATAAACATGTGTGTTACTGCGAAGAAAACCGGTATGTTATGAATACAAAATATATCGCCGCAGTGTTTACTAAGTTAGACTGTATCAGAATTTAAATAATTTAAATTTCATATTTATTCCAGCAAATCTAGAGGCCCTGGACATTCATATCTAGAGGCAGCGCAAAAAGCCAGAGATGAACGCAGAAAACTCAAAGAACAACGACTAAGAAAGAAATTAAGGAAAGCCAAAAAGAAGGTAATGCAAAAAAAAGTGGATTAGGTCTATGTGCATAGTGATAGCTGTGTGCCTTTATTTAAAAGATTAAATATACTACCGCTACCTTGTTTGTACATTTATTAAATTTGCATTTTAATACAGAAAAATCCAGATTTGCTTAAAAGAAATTGCGATGTTATAAAAAGAACTTGCCGAAATAAATCTAGATTATATGTCCCATCTCAACGATTGCAAGTTAACAGTAAAGAGAGTCAACTGTATGGCCGTTCGTATCTATAATAAATTACCAGCTTAGGAAATTGGGACACTCCGCTCATTCAAAACTTATTTGTGTTTTTACTTGACAAATGTTATTATTCTGAAAAGATTATCTAAATAACATAACATTATAATATTATCTATATGCTAATTAAAAACCAATTCACGCGTATAATTCTAATTTTTCACTTGATCTAATTTTGCATTGTTTAATTTAATTATTGACATTTATAATGAATTCATGACATAATTTAACCTAATTTGACATTTTATGTCATATTTGTACGCCGAACTAGGCAGATTTTTGCTGGGATTTGACTTGACTATTAACACCTTTGCATATGTTTGTATACCCAATTTTGCATGTTTTGCTTATATTGGTGCTGGTAGTGTATATCGCTCACTGAATAGTACAGTGGCACAACTCAAAAACCTTATTTCGAGAAACGCTCTCCGAAGTTATGAAAATTTAATATATTTATAATTATGAAAATAATTTTTTTTAGCATAACAGTTAAATTGTTTGTATTATATTATTTATGTTAAGTTTATTATTTTTTCTTTAAATTATCTATGGGATGCCACCATAATGTTGTGGCGTTTTTTCGAAATAATGGTTTTTGAGTTGTGCCACTGTACTATTCAGTGAGCGATATGATCTTAAATTTATATCTTTATTATTGGCAGGCTGAATTGGAAAAGCTCTGCGAGTCGGAACGTATGAATTGTTTCCGTCACGATAATGACCATTGGCGTACTGCACCCTTGTGGACAGCGGGACCGTTTTGTTTCTGTATGAGCGCTTCTAATAACACGTACAATTGTGTTAGGACTATCAACGCAACACATAACCTACTCTATTGCGAGTTCGTCACTGGATTAGTGACATACTACAATCTAAGAGTTGGTAAGTTACATTTTATTGAACTCAAATGTGTAGGTATAAGTTTGATTTTTTTTTTTATTAATAATGTTTTTAACGTTTTCAGATCCCTTCGAAACACAAAATCGAGTGAAATATTTGACTACATCGGAAAAGGAATATTTTCATAATCAACTTCAACAGTTACTGAATTGCAGAGGACCTTCGTGTCGAAGATTTTCACATTCAAATAGCCATGGTAATTTTATATCACGATCATTCGTCATTAATAACTATGGACTAGTTTATTAATAAACCTACTTGTTATTTCCCCCGCCTTGGTTCGGATAAATTATAGCATAAGTCGCCCCCGTATCATGTAGCTTTCCGTGGGTAAAAAAAAACGTTTAACCTTAGTATATATTATAGGAATATTACTAGCTTGGTATAATTATTGAATTGTAATTTGATTTTAGGTAGCAGTGAAGAGACTCTAAACAGAAGATATGAAGATGATCATAGATATAGAGACTTAGTAGGATATAACGAAAGGTAAGTAATTTTGAATCATAGATATTCTGTATACGATTATTAATACAATCTCCTTTTAATACTAGTATTTTCCAGATCTTGATTCACAATAAACAAGAATTGAGAACATACCTCTTTTTTCTGTTCTGTGGGACATACAATAATGAAATAAAAGTAAAAGGTATTTAGGAAAGGCCTGAAATGTCAAAATTAAGCGATATAGAAAGATACATCATCATTATTACCAGCTTATTAATGTCCCCACCGCTGGGGCTGACTTGAGTAGCTCGGTGGCATAGTGGATAAGCGCCGCGGCTCGCGATCGTTATCGTTAAACAACTTTCGAAAGGTCGGTCACGGGATGGGAGACTAAAAAATTTTTATCTCGAGCTACTCCGTGCTTCGGAAGGCACGTTAAGCCGTTAGTCTCGGCTGCATTTGTAGTCGTTAATACCCGCCAATCCGCATTGGGCCAGCGTGGAGGCTCATGGCCCATGCTCCTAAACCATCCATATGGGAGGCCAGAGCCCCTGCAGTAGGGACGAAATAAAGGGCTGATGATGATAATGACTGCTGGAGCTCAGGCTTTCCCTATGGATGAACTCGAAACTACAACGCGGGTACAGTGCGGATAGGTGTGTAGTAACAACTGCAGACGCAGCCACGACCAATAGCTTAACGTGCCTTCCGAAACACGGAGAACTCGAGATAATAACTTTTTGGTCACCTATCCTATGACGGGCCATTGCGAAAGTTACTTAACAAACCATAGTCTTTTCGCTTCTAAAATTTAAGTTCATTAAACAAATAATATCTTTATTTTGCAAACAGGTCGTGGAGATGGAGTGGCTACGGTCGGCGATATGCAAGAGAGCGGCTTCACAGGCGTCGTCATGCAATGGCATTCTAGTCTAATCACAGTTTTTAAAATTGGAATCTCTCAAATAAAGTAGATCCTACATAGAAGTGTCGAAAAAAAGGTTAAATGAGGTAGTATAGACAACCAATTGTCGAAACAGGGGGCTCTAATCGTCGAATTGTGATCTAACTGATTAGTTATTACATCTGTTTTAACCATTAAAAATAATTTACTAAGATAATAATTTTAATTTATGCATCCAATGTAGTAGGGATTTCTATAGGTTTTCTATAATAAATTATGACAGTTAAAAGGAATATTATTAGATTTTCAAAGCTTTAGTAGATACTTTGCTTACGTGCCTACCTTTAATAAATATACATTATAATAGTATGTACTTCTTTGTTACATTAGCATGTTAAAAATCAAATAGATAACTATTTAAATGTGGCAGGCATGTTATATAGCTATAGCATGGATTAATATATTATAATGATAAGATTATTTTATATATAACAAATTACATATATAATTAAATTTATATATTTTTTATTTTATTTTAATTATTTTATAACTGTACTGTTATTTGTACAAGGATTCATGTCAGGCTACAACAATATGTCAAATTACTTCAATTAATTTTGTATTCTAGCTTCAATGCATCAAGGTTTAAAATTAAATGGAGAAAAATGACAGTTTGGCAGAGCCTAATATGCAATTTTATATTAAAGTAAGCAATAAAATCTGTGGGTTGTATTTTACATTTTTTTACGAATTAAAAGTTTCAAAATTAAACACTTGAAAAAAGACTTTGTGATCATATTTGCGTTCTGTCATCATTGCAGTGAGTAGCTAATACAGTGTTGTCAAAGAATAAAAAGAAGAAGGAACGCGAAATAAATAAGTTATGTGGTTCAATAAAAAATGCCCTACACTTTATATATTTTTTTATCAGTATGTACTATGCTTTAGTTTATAGTAGTAATTGACATGTACCTATCTATTCTGTGCATGTACCTATATCGAATATCAATATTAATTAAGGTTTTGTGTATCGTTATAAATAATATAATAACTAAAAAAAATTGTTATTATATTATTTACTTGTAATTTTTTTTTTTCAAAGTGTAATGTATTTTTTTTATTAAAATAAGTAGCTAAACAAATTCTTTTAAATCTTGAATACACAATATTTCCTATGGCTGTATCATACTACTAAAGTCCTGATTCATCTGTGCAAATGAAGTTCCGAATAATCAACTTCAGCTATTAACAGTTCATCTGCCAACTTGGCAGATGAATCGGACCTCATTTTCACAGATCAATCAATGCTTTTCTTATATGATAGGCCTGCGGATTAAAAAAGCATTTCAATGTTTTTTCTAAATTATTTGTTCCTTTTATAATTTCATTCTTCTTTCTGGTGTATGATTAAAAGATAAATTAGTATGTTCGTAGTTCACTATTTATCTAGTAGAAGTTAATGTAAAAGTGATATAAAATGTTGCCATTGTGATGATCATGTGTACTGGTTGTAATAATAAAATTATAAAATATGAATTATTGTATTAATTTTATTAATTGCCGATATTTAATTTTAACAAAACAATAGGTTACCAAATTTATTATTATTAAAATTCTAAGACATTATCAATTTCATCATCTTCACATAAAGAGAATAAATTGTTATTTTTTCTCTGTGATACATTCTGAGTTTTAAAGATATCATTTATGTCTAAATTATAATTATTTTTACAATTAACTGATTTGTTTGAATGTTTTTCCTCATTAGCATTTGTATCTATATTTCTATTGTGTCTTGAAATAGTATGATCTCTTAAATCAAATTTGCTTTCTATAAAATTATTAGATTTCTTTCTCTTATCTATTTCCTCATTATTCTTTCTATTTATTTGATTCATATAACCATTTCTAGTACTCACATCAATTGAATCAGATTCTAAACCCTTTATATCCAGGACATTTGACGATAAAGTCTCTGTCTTTGATATATCATATTGTTCATCATTACCATAATCTACAAATTTAGCCCATTTAGAATTTGAATTGATAATAGGAGATACAAATTTTAATTTCTTTGGTTCATGTAACTCCTTAGATTCATTTTGTGATGTAAAGTTAATAATAGTGTTTTCTATATTATCATAATCAGATTGTTTTATTCTTTTTTGTTGTTGATATGCAGGACCTTTAAATTTAGATTGATATTTAATTTCAGTAGGTATTTGATTAATTATGTTACACTCAATGTTATTGTTTTCTTGGTTTGTATCAGTTTTTAGATTCAGTTGTTCTGGTATTTCCTGGTGTTCTTTATAATATTTTAGATTAGTTATTGACTTTTTCTTGTGTGTTTTCTTTGGTATTTCGAGAACAACTTCTTTGTTTTCCAATAACATAACATCATTGTCTTCGTTTTTTGTTGCAGTTACTTCATCTCTTTCAATAAATTCTGACCATTTGCTTTCAATTTTTTTTGTTGGCTCAATAGGCAATGGCATATAATCTTCTTCATCTTCACTGGTTAAACTTTCTATCGTCTTTGAGTTATCTAATTCACCTCTCATAGTGTTTAGTTTTTGTACATGCATTCTACATTCTTGGCTGTTCCCAATCCCATAATGGCGTTTAATAGATTGCTTTTCGCCACACATTTTACATATAAACTTGATTGATTTTTTAGTTTGGTGTACCTAAAATGAGGAAATCACCAAAAAATAACATTTCATATCTTATCTGACATTTAAATTTATGTTTTTATTTCGGGGAATTCCCCTATTGGATACTTAAATAAATAACTAACTTTAATTGCAGACTATTGTGTCTAAAATCAAAATAACAGCAATAGTTTAGGTAACTATTTTTTAAGGTTGTTACAATAGTATCAAATATCATTTTATATTAAGTGTCAAACTAAAATAAATGTTAGATGTAAATAAACCTTTAAGTATCTGAATAGAGAATAGGTATTAAATAAAAAATGCTTAAAAAATTCTCCTTGACCCTGGCAGTCTGAGACAGGACTCGAACATGCCCTTTCACAATTTGAGTCTAACCTCCAGACAGGACAAGGGGTGTGCAATGCCCTATGAGAGCACTAAATGCACTGTGTAGTAGCAAACAACAAAATATGCTCTGTAGTAGTGAAAAAGTAACAAGTGCTTGAAAGATTTGTCAGTTCTGTAAGGTCCTGGGTAACTCAATGGTTAGAGCAGTCACCTGGCTTGCAAAACATCATAGGTTCGAGACCCATCTCAGGGTTTTTTAAGTATTTTTCATTAAGAATGTTTTTCAGTATAGCAATGTGAATGCGAAATGGATCAAACATAATAATTAAAGGATAGGTATAGAAAATTTAAAAAAAAAATCTGCATCATGGGTTATAGCAAATTAAGAGCCCACTGTGACCCATTAGTCGTTTTGGAAAAAGAAAGTACTTGAAAACTGAAAATAGGAACTCCCCATTGCGAGGACAAAACTACGTACTGGTCAGCAGGGGTTGGATATAACAAGCATATGGCAAAATAAAACAAAATACAAATCTATTCAAAACATCATGAAAAAAGTTTCTATGCTCCCTACTAAGAGAAGTAACACAGTGCACCTACCCGCTTGAATATGATGTTAATAACTATAATAAAAAGAGAGATATTGATGTATAGCTAAAACAATTTTTTTTGTAAGTGTAACTGTGATAAATACTGAGTGTTAGAGAATAATCCACTTTACCCCACGATTTACTGTTATTCACTCTTCCCTATGTTTATTTATTATTATACCTAATTATCATACCTATTTATAAATTATAGGCATTTATAAAAAAACTTTGCACTTACTTGGAATACATGGCATTTATAACATTTTAACACTTGAAAAACTTGAGGCATGTTTTTCAATACGATAAGAACAGTATTTTGACTAATTTAGAAGTAAAACTCTTTTAGTTTGTGAAAATAAGTTTTGGCTACTATAAATATTTCACTGATGGCTTATACAGCTATTAAATCTTTTAGATGTAAAATCATTCAATAGTATTCAATTTTATGGAAAATGTGCTTGCTATATAAAACATAGAGAAAGTATTATACTTCTTCTTCTTCTTTTTAATTAATGGCTTATCTGAGGTATTATACTGCTATTTAAAAAGCTTATTTCTACTTGCCGCTATTTTTAATTTCATTATTCTGTCAATGTCACTTGTTGTTGTTGTTGTTGTGCAAAAGGACTAAACCCATACAGTCTATTTGAAAATATTTTATCCATCGTACTTAAGAATGTTTTATATTTAAATGCCTCACATCCTGCGTTATTTAAACCTAATATAGATGTGCTTGTGGCGATTCTCCATCACTATCCCACAATGAGGTATGATTTGAACTTAGTAGCTAAAGTATTGCCAGGTGAAAAAAAAACTTAAAAATTTTCGATATATTTTGAGATTTTTGTAAAAACACTTTTTGTCGAATTTTGGATTTTTTTCGATAACGGTCGCTATCGCAAAAACTACCATATATTTTTCGATACCAAGCAAATGGTATTCAAAGAAGATTTGAAATGTTCATCAGCAGTCGTCGTTCATTAAAATTCCTAAAAATGTACCATTTTCTTTACGTTATTTAACTTAATCTAAATATATTTATCTGCAGATTCAAATAAATTAATAAAACTCAGAGAGGGGGGAGGGGGACCTTAATAGGGTTTCAAACTGGGGTTGGGGTTGAACTCTCTCTGCAGGATCTTAGATTCTTCCCCCCCCCCCCTCCCGTGAGGGCCTAAAACAAAGTTTAAAAATCGATTAGAGAAAATCAGATTTGTATATCCTGACCTGTTATTGACTCTCTTTCTAATCAAAGACTTAAATTTTCAATGTTTAATTCACATGGGGGGTTGAGACGTCGGTTGAGACGTAGAATTAAAATTTTATAACCCTAAGGAGTAAAATACAATACGTTATGTATCATTTACATTCAGCAGGTCAAGCGTATGGGTAATAGAGGGTGGATTGCCCGATGGTACCCGATGGAATAGGTACTTCAATCATTCTAATTCGTCTACATTCGCTGCGCTTCGAAGCCTGTAAGTATATCAGTAAAACACATAAGTTTCGTCGGCTCCATGAAAAAGGTCTTTGGCCACAGAGGTAACAATAATTTGTTTTTCTTCACGTGCTATTACCTCAATTACGTGACAGTACGAATAATTCAGGGGCTATGTTATATTACGGTAGATAGTAGAAAGGTCAAGATATTTTTTTTTCTCTTATTTTACATAAATTTGTATTTTTTCATGTATATGTACTTATAAGTGTAGATAATTAATGTGGCGCAGTTGTTAGCGCGTGGACTGCTATATGTTGTGTTTCGGAAGCCACGTTAAGCTGTTGGTCTCAGCTGCATCTATAGTCGTTAATACCCACCAATCCACACTGGGCCCGCGTGGTGGGTGATGACTAGTGTTGCCAGGTCTCCCGATTTGCGCAGAGCGTCTAGATTTTCAGGGATCTAAAGACCCGTCCCGATGAGCACCTGATTGGTACACTATACTGGGAGGAACAAAATGACCGACACAGCCGAAAGTTTCAAGTTAGGTTACATGCAAAGGTTCATTTTATTTGACAAATATTTAAAAATGGAGGAGGTGTAAAAGTGGAGTAAAAATTTTAAATTTCTAAGTGTTGACCTCCCTATAACGCGCATGCGCAATATTGATAGTGTGCAGATAACAACGAACCGCGAAATACATTAACTTAATTTAATTATTTACCGATATCTTAATGATAGTCGATGCTGAAATGTCCACTTCCTCTCTGAAGACTGAGCTAAGCACGCTCTTTTCAATGCCGCGCATACACGCGCAAAACACAATCTTCACTAAACTAAACTCAACACTCAAGACGAACACTCTACTATTTTATTAACAAAAATTCAATTAAAAATGCACTAAAACAAAACAAAAATCGACAAAAAAGACGCTTCGCAGCGGTGCATCGGCGGCGATGCGCAACAACACAACAGCGCAAAAGGTCTGCGGCGACTGAGCGGCCGGAAAATACCGACAGAATAATGAAGCCGCCTGGCGGCTGGCTGGCGGGTGGGGCTTTGATATCGAGGGACGAACTCGGTTAGTCTGTAAATCGATTTAAGCATTTTGACTGCCTTGTTTATTGATTGTCTGGTAGAATTTGCATGAAAGCAGTCTTATAAATCACAAACTAATTTATTTCAAGTCAATGACCGATTAAAAACTTTTCTTTAGTAAGTCCCCAAAACAGCTGAGTCAGGGTTGAAAACACTCATTCTTTTTCAAAAACTTTGTGATTTAATATCTCCGAAACTATTTGACCTAGACTTATAATTTTTTTTACATCATATTAAAGACAAATAGTACTCTCCAGGAACCTCGGGAGTGTCGGTCGTTCTGTTCCACCGAGTATGTCGCGAAAATCGATAACTTCCAAATCTACTAAAACTTGTAAAAAATAAATAATGTTTTAATAAGTCAATCAATATTTATTCGTCTATTCGTACAAAAATATGTTTATCCATTCGTTCGTCTTACTTGTGATTTCCTTGATTGTGTACCTGCTATTAGATTAGATGCTATTTATCCGTGGCTCTAAATCAACGCTGACAAAATTAAAAACGTAATATTACATATCATATTGTTATGTTGCCTTTGTTTTTTAAACAACTACTACTTGTACGAATTAACATGACACCTACTAGTCATCGAACCAAAATTCGGAAAATTTCAAATCGTTCTTATAATATTGTTAAAATGATATCCATGAAAATTGTCAGTGCATCAGGTAGTGTCAGGTGCTACCTCCGTTCCATTATAAATTATTGAAAATTGCATTTCTTTGGAGTCGTACTAGCATTTTTCTAGCATGCTTCTGGCCATAGGAACGATATTGTCGATATTCCGTTTCATTTTACTACATTTACGAGTTAAAATACACGTCGACGACGAACTATTTCTCAAGATTTGACAGCAGCGTTACCAAATAAGTATGTTAATTACAAATTTATCCATATGACATGTCAAAAACAACTTATATTGATGAGATGTCGTACCTATGGCTGGATTCATGACTAGAGAGTTAAATGGTCGCTCTGCAGATATTCTTCAATGATTAATAATTTATTTTCATTAGTAAATAGCAGCACAAGAATGCAAAGGCTAAATTTTTGGGGGACGAAATATAGGCGGATTAACTGGAATCTGTGAGATTTTTTGAGGAATCGATATTTAGAGCAGATACTTTTGTTTTAGTATTCGATCAATACCAAAATTATTTTGATTCTGAATAAAGAAAATACACATAAAAACGCTCAGCTCACCAGGTTAATCAGACGGTCATTAAAAAGACACAAAATCATTTAAAGAGGCAACTCTTGCTCATAACTGGAACAAATATGTGAAGATAATGGTAAATTATTTAAATTTTCAGACAATGTTATGTCTGAGAATTAAAGATAAAGACAAATTTTGAAATAAGTAAGTTCTCCAATATTTATGAGTTACTATATTCATTTTTATTTGAAAGTAATAGTAGTTTCTGTTTCATTAAAGGATTAAATTATTCATACAATTTGTGGTTATAAAATTGCGAATTTGGTCCAGCTATTTAGGAGGTTAGTAAATAAATGAATTAAAGTGTGCAAAAGTGCGTACATTGCGTAGTGTGAGTATTTGAGAATCTGTGACGTGATAAATATGGTTTAAATACGGGTCTAATAGATAACCTCATTTTTTGAAGCCCGTAATAATATTTTTATTTACCTTATTTTTTTCCAATTTACTACCCTAACTCCCGATTTATTTTACTTTATGTCCTAATTTCAACCAAATCGCACCTGAAAACACTAGTCATGGCCCATTTTTCCTATTCGATTTGATTCGATTCCATGCATAGGGAATGAGTAAGCCCCAGGAGTGGGGATATTTAAAAGCTGGTGATGATGATAGTGCGTGGTATGTCCCATCACCATATAAGTTGAGGTAAAATGGCGATTTACCGCGCAGGTTTCAGTCACCCCACATCTCGCTTAAGACCCAATAGTTCAGTTAATATGTTCTGTGCCCCATTAGTGCTACTGCTTAGTCAATATTTTGGTTTAACGGTTATTTTGCGTGCCGCGATATAGGGCCACAGTAGTGGTCCACCGAGACGAATCAAACAAAAAAAAAGCGTAAGGGCATTACCTACTTTTCTCGAAACGCTTCGACGGATTTTTGAACCCTCATAACTTATGTTTGGATTACACTAGATACATAAATTTTTCGAGAATTAAACTTACCGTTAATATCTTTAGAATGCTTATCTTGATTTTAGTATACACCACAAAGACCTAAAGCACTACAGTTTCGATTTATCTAAATAAAAATAGGGATAATAGTGGTTTTCTATAATATTTAATTTCTGAGCCACATTCATCACAGATTTTGTATTATAATTTTATTTTACAAGTTTGACACTTTATCAATACACTACTAGTACCTAACGTTTATATGTGTAGATAAATATGTATAAACAAACAAATATGAAGATAACATTTATATTATAAGTACACAATAAGTTTTTGTACATATAAAGCCACGGTTATATCGCCATCGCCCTGCGCCATGTATCACCACGCGCTTTCATATATTCCACTCGTCCACCATTATTCAGTTTCATGCTCAATACATAAAACAGAAACAGAAACATACAACAACACGCCAGCAGGTCAATTCTGTTTATGTTTACGTAATAATTTGCATATCAATAGAATTTAAATCTCAAGTACTTGCATTGTACCATTGTACTACCTAACTGAAGAGAAAATACAATGGGTCCGTAAAAACACATGAAACGTCGCGTCCGTGTAACCTTAACATTTAAAAATACACACGTTTTTGTTTCATAAAAATCGAGTGAATAACTTTAAAGTTAATAATGTTTTAATTTCTGCCTTTTTTCAAAATTTGGCTTTGGTGCGCCTCGTGTGACAACACGTTACAACGCGCCGCACTCGCTGTACTGAATCACTCATACATTGTACCGGTTCCTTGACGACAATAACAATCCACCAAGCAAGCCGGACTGGGCTCGCGTAAACGCCCCGCCATCTATAATTTGCCACCCATCCGATTACCGGCCTTTGCGATCGTCGCTTAATCTCACACGCGCAATCAAATGCGCTAGCCACTATACTATCGAGCTTTTTACCTGTTGCTATAGAAGATACATATTTTTTTATCAAATTGAATAATTTATATAATATGAATATGATAAAATTTCACATAGAGTACCCGTGCATGAGAGATTACAAAACTGATGTCGCAATTTCATGAGATTAACTTGCGATTCTTCATACATTTTACTTGATATCAAATTGCGTCTCATCGAACCACGAGTAAAGAGCCTTACACAATAACGGCCGGTTTCTGCATTGAGAAAAGTACAAAGTTCTCAATAACTTAAGTTTTTTACGTATGACAAAAAGTCCTAGTTTTTCCAAACTACTATTAACTTATCATTAAAAAAATAAAATCAGAAACGAAAACTGACGTTTGGAATGGCCTAAGTACGGTTTGAAACGTGTTTAACTTGAAATTCTCAATTGAGAAACCGGATGTATGTGTTTACCTTATTTGTGGGTGCGACATGTTTAAACTTTTTTCATAATTGTCAGAGTGCTCGGGAAAATAGAAGCGAAAAAATAATTTTAACGATTTTTTTTATTTTTAATAGTAGTCTAGTTTTTTTTAAACAATCGCCCATCGCTACCTCGAACATTCCTTTTGGATTTTATTTCTATGAGTTCGGGGAATTCCAAGTTCGTCGTCATTACTTATTTTGATTTACAGAGTCTGTTTTTTGAATTTCGAGTTATAAAGTATAAATATTTACTATCAATACCTCATAGGGAAATAATATTTTGTTCGAGTTATAAAGTCTAGATAATTCGAGATATTGCGGATTTGGGGGTTCAACGGAAGGGAATAAAAATTATTTTCTACTTACTGTGGATTACGACTAAGCGAGGTTCGAGTTATAGAGGTTCCACTGTATAATGATAAAATGCGAGTAGTGGACATTCTATTGAGGTGAGTTTATTACGTAAATATTAGGTGGAGTGTGGCGAGCTAGGTATGACCGCGACTTTACTAATATAAACAAAAATCATATAACAGACAATGAGACATAGTTATACATTATTCAGAACAATAGGAACTGGAACCTACGTAGGTGTAATTAATATAGAAAGGGTAAAGTGGATATAAATTGGAATAAACATAAAAGCTCTATCCATTCTATCATATAGAAATTATAGAGAAATATATATTTCTATAAACCAGTGGGGTGTCAGATGTAGATGAAGTAACCACTGTCTCTCTCTTCTATCTATCACGGAATGTACTAGAAAGGGGACTGTGAATGAGTAAATTTTCACATTCAATCTGTTGATTCAATTTTGTTATGAAAGTAGGCTTCTGCTTACATATTCACAATGCATTTGTTGAGTCAACTTAAATTGAATCACCAGTTAGTTTGCGGAATTTAATCGTTTATACCAGACTTAAGTAAAAAGAAAAAGATTTCTTCAAAAACTGCTATAGCCAGACTGACGTAATACGATTTAACCAAAAAGCTTCTAGATCTGCATGCTTACTTTCGACGCATTGGCGAACGATCGACATTGCAATTGTGCCGGTTCGTACTCTTGATTGGGTATACACTAGTATACTCTGGCATTAGTGTACCCAGTCAAGATAACGGCAAGGCATAATTGTAATGTCGATCGATTGCTATTGCGTTCGAAAGTAAGCATACTGGTGAGTATTATGCAAAGAGGTACTGAAAGAAGAGGGTGGTATTCGCTGATACGACGTTGCCCACGTCTGTTAGAAATAAGAACTCATTGCTAAGTTTATGCTTGGTTTTTCACAATTACGTTAAAAATATATATGTCGTTGTATTTAAAAAGGGCAAAATGTACATAAATATAAGTAATATAATAAAGAAAAACATTAAAATGTAAATAATCATCATAACGTTAGCCGACTACATTTAAATCATGGAATTCTAACCAATACTATAGAATTCGTATCGACCACAATACCTATTGTATTGGAAACTTAAGTTCCTTTAATGCTTGGCGTACATACAAAATAGAGTAAAAAACAATTTAAAAAAACCTTATTATTGGTATTAGACCACATAAACTAAGACGCTATATTTGTTTCTACTGCTGAATTTAATTTGCACGTTATAGGCTACTGCCTTATGAAGTTTAAAAAAAAACCAGTTTTCTGTAAAATTCAATCTTTGATCATAAAAAAATAAGATATCGTTTTCTTGTCAATTATAATTAATTTTTTGTTGTATTTTATCGATAAAATTGTTTGCGGCTTGCGTATTTGGATTTTCCTTTTTGTAACTTATTTTGAAAATAAACTATCAGATATGTTTATAAAATCATAGGTGTCATGAAATTTTTATAATACTAACTAAAATTCCATATCTAATCCTTTAGATATTTTCCCCTTTTAAATTACAATAATTCTAAGAGGGTAAACGCTAAAACTACAGATATTTTGCAATCTGTAATATTTACCTTGAATCAAATATATTGTGTGATTTTTTACTAAGGGACGGTAATAATATGTATGACTCAAAATTATTTGTTGTATAGTTAAAGATAGATAGGAATTCGCTTAAGACTAAATATTGAAAATATAGACGTATAAGTATTTAAGGAAATTTGAATATATATATATTACAGATAATACCGATGGACTTCGTATAGATCTAGAAATTATACATTTTCTTACAAATAACACCTAATTTTGATTACATACTATATTTACAAATTTGGACTTTGGCACATTATTTTCGATAATCATTGGCACGATTTATTTACATACATTGGCACGAAAATGAGCACTTTACCGAGACCATGAATTAGGCCCTATCTCATTGAGATAAAATCACTTATCCAAAACATTAATATAGATTCCGTACTTGCATTTTAATATAGATTGTAGGTACAACAACTACAATTATTTCCAAAGCAATTAATTCAAATGATCAGCAGTGTTTTTCAGTTAAAAAAAACTCCTCGAACTCGTTGACATACACGCTGCCATAGCTTATAAGTTCAATCAAATGTAACCTACTTAAAAAGATAATAAAAGTTATATTTCATTGAAACTTTATGGCTATACGCTTAACGTTCGAATTCGAAGCTAATTTTAACAGAATATCATAGCTTGTTTCAAGTTAAGCTGCTATGTTACCTGCTAATTTGTCTACACAACCATAATTATTTTATTTTTAACATTCGACGTTAATGCAAGTAGAGAAATCTCACTTAAAGGAACTTTATATCACCACATCACGAAGTTAAGTGTTCATAACAGTTGTCCTTCGAGTATAACCTCGCCTAGCTGCGCCACCAGACCCTTGGGCTTCACACTCTCTTCGCACTCTGTCTATTATATCTGCAACGAGTTTTTCTTCACGTGAACGTTTCTCCTGCCAGTCAGTCTTATTCGTAGGGTCTGTACATTGAGTTTCTGAAAAAATCCATTATTAATAAGGATAAGTCAACAAAAATATTTAAACCGATTTAAAAAAAATATCTTAATACAGAGAAACGACTGAAAAGAGAAACACAATAAAATCGAAACACAAGAAGTGGATTGTGGAATATACCAACAATTTTATTTGAGGTCGGCACCAGCCGTGTCATTTGTGAAAAGTAAAACAGCACTATAGACTATACACTATATAATGAAATATCATTATCAATTGCTGACTTTTTGAAGTCAGCTAATAACGTATTACATACACCATTAATAGAGGGCCTTCTTTTCTATTAGGTTAAACAAAGGTCATCAATTTTCGCCGGTTAAATTTTAATAGTTTATCGGCCGATTTCTGAATTGAGAAAAGTTCAAAATATCAACTGATTATTCTCAATAACTTAAGTTTTTACGTTTTACTTGGCAAAAAGGCCTTGTTTTATCTAACTATTTTTAACTTATCATTAAAAAAATGAAAATCAGAAACGAAAACTTGTTTAAATGACATTTGAAATGGCTTAAGTACGGTTTAAGACGTGCTTAACTTTAAATTCTCAATTCAGAAAGCGGGTGTTAATTTTCAAACTTCTAAACCGATTTTGATGAAACTTGTAATGTACCCTAAGTAGAAAGCTAAGCAATTAAACAAAATAAGAATCATTGCTATCCGACGTCAAGCTTAGGAGATATCAGTAGACAAACATACATACCTGCATCTAAAAAATTTTACACATGTGTTTAGAAGCCCTGACAGATCAACATATAATAAGCTATATTACGCCATTCCAACGAAATAACATACATATACCTCGAATTGGCAACTACTTTTTTTATGTCGAATAATGAAAGAAACATATATAGTGTGTAAGTAGTAAGTTTAGACCTCATAGACAGAAGTTATATTTGAAAAATATGATTAGTAATATTTTACTTATATATTTCAACTTTAACTTACACCAGTTCCAAAGAGTTTTGTCTGGGAGGAACTGGCGAAACAAACTCCGACAAGAAAAGTGAATTGCTCCCTTTGATTTAATATTTACAGAATGAACTAACTGTATCTTGATTCATTTATGGATAGTGTGCGTGAAAATATAAGTAATCAATTTATCAAATATAAGTAACCAATATTTTTATCAAACATTCGTCGAAGAGTATGAAGTTCCTTACCCTTATTGCTTCCACGACACGACTTCTTCATTTCCCCGCTTTTAGTCTGCTTAACAATTGTCGTTTGGTAATTCGGAACGGTCGTTTTTGGAATAGACATCTCAGGGTCTGGCTCTTCTTTCACTTCATGGAGAGGTTGCTGGCTAATTCGCTCTTTAGCAAGAGCTTCCGCTTGTGAATTGGTCAGCACTGGACTGGAGTCCGATAAAACTTCGCTGTGGCGACTGGCCAAATGCCCAATGTATCCTGAAATGCAGATAACGCTATATAAAAAAAACTCGTTTATACATCTAGCAGACACAGCGATGGAAAAACATATATTCAAATACAAGAATTATATAACTCTTACCTTTTCGGCTCTTGAAGTATACCAGACACTGTTCACATTGAAACAGTGGGGCAGGATTGAGTGGATGTATGACGTGTAGTTTGTATTTATGACGATACCAGTGCGTTCTGCTTTGCAGTATTTCTCCACATAGCTTGCAAACGACACTGCCATCATTTCTCATGAAATATTCCAACAAATCATGTCTAGCTTTTGGGATTTCTTTAGAATCTTGATCTTTATTATCCGCTTCAATTTTTGGCACCGCATCATCACTTTTTTCTGTTAGAAAGTGTACACCGGCTGTATTGTCTTGTTCTATGCTTTGTGTTTCATTATCTGTTGTATTGATATCATCAGACATATTGTTGTTAATAGTTTGAATGTAATTTTCAGCGTTTGACGTATCTGAGAGGACTTCTAATGTTATAACGGGCATGCTACCGTCACCATCATCTTCGTATATGTAATGAAAGTCTGAAATTGATGAAAAACAATATCGATAAGTAATACAACTAATCTATAAATCGCAGGAATATATTGTATACAAGAATATGGTAATTATTGGTTTTGTCGTTACAATTCTACGCCGTTTGAGACTTTTATTAAAATGGAAGAAATATATTTGTAGTACTTTTGTAGGTATTCTACATTTATTTATTAACTTAAATTTATTACGTGAAGTAATCTTTGCAGATGGAAGATGATGTTATTTCAGACATTCAAAATATATATAATAAAATAAAAATCTACCTTCCAAAAAAAATAAGAAAGTTACTGGAAAATTAAATTATAGGATTGTTTTCAAACGATTATTCAATGCTGTTAAAGAACAATATTTTACGAGGGCATCTTCCGAATCATTAAAAATCGATCTGTTTTATTTTTTAAGGCTTCGCAGAAAGACAAGATAAAACTGATCTAACATTCATCATTTACTTATCCATTTTATCTAGTTATTATAAGAATTATATTTTAGTCATAATTATTCGTATTTACATAGTCAAGAATTTGAATTGAAAAATTTCTCAATTTTCGATAATGGTGTAATTAATTAAAAATATATTTGGCGTAGTTAAAATCTTCTGTCTCATTAACTGGCCAGCACTCGTAGTATCTCAAACTTGAAAAATGATTTTTCTTCTCCAAACGTCTATATTCTCGGGTCGAGAGTGAAATATCTTAGGGAAATATGACATTAGAGTGTAGACAAAACATTCTCACGCTTATATGCCATGCAAATGAGCCGCTGAGAGTCGTTTAGGCTGTGGTTATCCCGCTGTTGTGTACAAATAGAAACGAGCCAAAAACTTTCTTGTTAATGGTAGGTACTTACATAAATTTTTTAGGTGGTAGCCCCGTGCTAGAGCGTAGTTTGGTAGGAACTGTTTTTTACTCATTACAAATTTCAACTTTATCAACTTGAACACAACGGTCAATTCGTCTCGTCGAATCGCGCATCTATTCGCATCCCGGCGAACAACTGTTGCGAAACCATTTATATTTTCTTTTTTCTCTGGTCTGATAAGTATTCAAAATAAATCTGATTGTTATAGATTGGTTAAAGAGGAATGGACCGTGAAACATTGAACCGGTCGGGCTCATCTAGTGACGTTTATGTTTTCTTATAATAAACTAGTGGACGCCCGCGACTTCGTCCGCGTGGAAGTCGGTATCCCGTGGGAGTGAGAAGTTTTCCCAGTAAAAAGTACCCTATGTGTTATTCTGATGTATAACCTATATTGCTGTAAAGTTTTATCCAAATCCGTCCAGTAGTTTTTTCGTGAAAGAGTAACAAACATCCATACATCCATACTTACAAACTTTCGCCTTTATAATATTAATAGGATAGGATGTGCCTCTTAAAAGAGAAATAATAGTGAGACATAACGTTCTCAGTGAAACAGTGGAAACAGGTACACACTGAAAAAATTTTCACTGTGTCTCTGTGTAGTAATAATAATTATCGTGAACGAAACATAGTTAAAAACAGGAAAGAAAATATGATATTAGCATTATAAGCCGTTGAAGAGGGTTTTGATCAATGGATCAGAGCACAATAATAATAATAATAATACTTTATTGTCACACCATTTTACAGTTACAATTTTTAATATAAAATTTACAAATAAAATATAACACTTTCATGTAGCAATTGGCGGTCTTGTCGTCAACAGCGATTTCTACCAGACAACCTTTGGATGGAGAAGAATGAATAGCAGTTATGAAAAACGGAGGTGTAGAGTAAAAGTACGTAAATTCAAGAAAATAAGTAACATTTAGTAAAGATGCATTAATACTTATAAGATACATAAATTTTGAAAATATATACATGAATACAAATAATATATACATACATAAGATATATACTAATAATATACTTTAGTGAAACGAGGAAGGGTTTGACAATGGTGCTAGATAGATGGGAAATAGTGAACCAATTCACAGTAATAAAAAATAATACGTGGGATTTATGTTTCCATTTAAAGGGCTGTAGTTTAGTTATATGATACAAGTATATTTCCTACTTTCAGTTAAAATTTTGGAACTGAAAACGTATAATCTTCTAAGATATAGGTTGCAGAATAAAAACCGGTTCACTGTTCGACACTTAAATTTATAGATAGCATTGTTATAGATGGATGGGGCGAAATTTTAGGGAAATGAAATACATTTCATATATTTTCTTTTTTATTTGGATTATTATTTGCAGTGTACATATTACCTCATTAAATTATTTATTACGATGGTAAGATCTCTTCTTGTTTACAATAAAAACTTAAACAAACTTTTACTCACGATAAAAATAAAGTTCGCATTTTACACTTCAATTTATTTGTTAAAGCTTTGATGTTTTTAACGCTAATTTTACATGCTTACATTTTTTTTCAGTTAAACTGTGGTAGTAATTCTTGTTAATATTTGTTATAATTAAGTCTATCAAATATCTAACGGTCTTAAAATATAGATAAAAATTGCTAAGAAGAGTCACTAATGATCAATATGGCCCTTAATAAAATATCTTCACGAATGTTTGATATATTATATTATGCAGTCAAAAAAAAACTAGTTAAACAATATTCGAATATTTAATAAAATAGAATCTATCTCAATTATAGGAAACAAATAGGAAAGTCGTGTGGCTCTGAAAAATAAACAAAGACTACATAAAAAAAGGACAGACAAAAATGCGCTGAATATTTTTGCCATTTTTATGTAAGTAAACTATTAAAAATCAACAGGATTTTTTTTTATAAAATTGCACTTCAAATAAAGTTTCTTCATAAATCTTTTAAAAAGCTATCTTTTATTAAAATCTACCGATAATGTTTGTATCTAGAAAAGATATCTGTAAATATAAAACCGTTATTAATTTATAAATCGTTTACTTAAACTTTTTAATAATTACCAAATCAAGGCATCTACTCATGACGCAATAAAATAATCCATACTCACCCGTTCTCAGTAGAAAATATTACCATAGAGTTTTAATAAAGAATAATTATACGTCCATAAACACCAGTGAACTACATGTGTACATTTATTTATTTTGTGAAATAAAATGTAACTATGATGTTAAAAAAAAGTGCTACTATTCAAAATTAAAATTTAAAAATATTGCAATAATTTTAAACGCATTAACAATTCTTTATGTGCATATAGATTCCATTATTCATTTTTTTTTAAGTTTTTAACCAAAAAGAATCAAGTCACGTCTAGTTCACACACATTCGAATTTTAACTTTGTTAAACTGACAGCTTACTATAAATATATAATCTACATCATGTGCAATGTTTCGTGCTATTGTAGCGTTGAAAAGAACAAACAAAAAAATTAAGAAAAAATAACAAAGAACGTAATATTTCAAATCTTACTTCTTCGTAACGTAAGTATATTTGTTTGTATAATACTTAATATGATACATAATAAAATGTATCTTTATATAAACAGTATTCTGCCTTGCAGAATACATTTAAGAAGGAGAAGTAAGAATTATAATAACTCAACAATGAACATGACCGCTAACTTAGTTAGCACTAATATCACAAAATAAAATACTACAAAAAAGAAAAAGAAAAAATAACCAGTAACCACTTCACCACTCAACGAAACGTTATCGTAGTAGCACACTGTGAGAAAAGAATAAAGAGAGTGAGTGAAAACGAAGCAAAAAAAAATATTGAGAAAAATTTTGCGATCTATATTTTGTTTGTGCGATCGACTGGCTCTGATATAAACTACCACTTAAATAAAATCACACTGCGAATGTTAATACCTTCTTGGTGACTAATTAAATCTAAACGATCCATGTGATACACCATTAAAATTAATTATTTTTTTTTATCTACAAAAAATGTGATCTATGAACAATCTAATTCAACTTATTAATAAACTATATGAACTGTTGTGCGCTAAAAATACAATAACTCAATTTAACCATTAATATTTTAAGTAGACACATAACTACTTATAATATAAACTATATTATATAATGCTCTCGTACTAAATAATCTTATCTTTTCATACGAACTTAATATAAAAAAATGAAAATGTTGATTAGTAATATACTTTTCAAACATGAACTTACAATATGTGAACATTAATTACACAACATATTCTAACAAATATTATTTCCTTATCAATGGAAGAACTGCTGATTTCGTTTTCTTGTTCCAGATAAATCTAGAACACTTTATATCAACTAAATATATCCTAAAGCGAAATAATAAGAGTTGGAGATGTTCCTTTTACATCTTTTTCTTTAAAATATTGTGCTATGGCACTATAGGTTCTATAATAAAATATATGATATTCATTAAATATATAATCTAATATTTCGTTAAGTATGAATATATAGGTACAACTCGTAACAGTAGGCTCACTAACATTTCAATTATTTAATAGTAAAATATTCTAACATATTTCAATCAATTTAATATTTATACGTTCCAACTCTATAACTTTCAAATATAAGGTAAAATTTCTATAAAACCTCATAATACTTAAGTTTGGAAGAAACGTTAGTGCTAGACAATAGTATTCTAAATTCAAAAAATTGCGAAGAAAATTAAATGTTTCATTTGTAAACAGTCTTTGGTTGTTGTCTTGCGGTAAATCTGCATATAAGAGAAAATTAAACTATAATGAAGCAACGGAACTGTTTCAATGTATAAGATGCAACTAAAACGTATTCTTGAAAAAAATTTAATATGGAAGGCACATCTCAGACTTGTACAGAACCCGTTAAAAATGTACGTATTCAATACTACCTATTATTGCGCAACTGGCCATGACGACATAAATGTTATTTATTGTCTATTATTTGCACAACCACATATTTATATATTTAATATGAGCTCTATGTAACAAACGTTAGATATTAAATGCATAACAGTTTAATTGGAAGTATAATAGATCTGTACATTACAATAATTGTACATGAAAATTTTTCTCCAAAAATAGAACAAATACTAATATGAAATCCGATATTAATAACTCTAACAATGAAAGATAAACTTTAACTTTTAGGCGTTTCCTAAAGGCACTAGAATATAATAGTTTGTGTGGAATTAATAATACTTAATACCGCATTTGTCACTTTGTGTCAGTTAAACTTGGGTGGGATCAGGAGAAGAGTGGGACGGAGTAGAGCCTCGAGGGGATCCGGAGCCCACCGATTCCATTTTCAGCCCTGACGTTAGTTGCGCCTCCATCCCTGGTAACATAAAAAAAGCATTCGGCGTATAAACGCAATCTTTTGGCACGTAACAATCGTGCGTTGTCTTCATATGATTCTTCATTTTGTCGGGCCTAGAAAACTCCTTGCAGCACACAGGACAAGGGAATACTTTCCTCTGTTGACCCTCGTGGTAAAGGAACGCGTGCCTCTGGAATGAATACTTATTTTTGAATGTCTTCTGTATATTCTCCTTCGCACACTCTGTACATTGGTAGACTCCTTCATTCACCGATGCGTATCTAAAGAGGTTCAGACCTCTAACTGACATTTCGGTCAGCTGTTCCGCGGGATCGTTTGAGGCTGAATTGGCTCGCCTCCTTATCCGTCTCCTGACCACTGGCCTTTGCATTTGATTCCCACCGGTTTGCAACGTGTTATTATTTAAAGAGTCATTTTGATATTCGTTAGATGTCGACGCTTGAATCGCTGGATTAACACGAATTTTCCCCTGGCCGTCATTCGAAGGTGATTGCGCGTATTTAGTATCTTTGTTTTCAAAATCTGGTGAACCACGCCCTGTAATAAATTTATAATTGTATCAGCATCGCTACATTTAATTTACCTATACAATCAATCTACGGACACAATAACTATGCATGTTTTAATGAATCTAAATGAAAGAAGCATTGAAGAAACTGATGAAAAGTAAAATAAACAATAAAGTGGGGAAAAAAAAAAACAAAGAAAGAAAATATATTAACCTTTATTTGTTCAAATCGAATGACGAATTGATTACACCATGGCTATAGAACATTGTTATGATCATACTACAAGGATAAGGTATGATATATTAATCATAATAATATCAGCACCTTATACATTTATTTTTTTTACAGAAAACAATCCACTCATCCATGTAGTATGACCAAATTTAAAAAATAAATTCTAAAAACAAAAAGTATAATTTAACAAAAGGCAAACTTTTGTAAACTGAAATAATAAATGATATAGCAACACTCATATTGCTTTAGATTTGAACAAACTGTAGCAAAGTTAAACTGCTTAATATAACTATTATAACCTACTACTTATAATTTATCAATTAAATAAATTAAAAAATAATATAACAAAAAAGAACAGATTTCACTATGACATAATAGGACTCAAGTATTTGCATTTGGAACTGTTACGGCAAGTTCAGTTGTAGGTACATTATATAATAATAAAAAATAATAACACTTCAGTTAACTTAGCTCTTAAGATCACAAAGGTGGGTTTTGTAGTAATCTATAGTTAGACAAACTGCGAAGGTTATTAATAAAACAACTTAGCTGCCGTTCCGAAAATAAGATACAAAGTAATAAATAGTCTGACAAATAAGTAGAACAATGAAATTAATAAGACAGAAATAAATTAAAAAAAATAGCCTCGTCTAGTTAACATTTGGATACTTATTGCAATATTTTTTTCTTTTTTTTTAGTAAAAAATAAAATTAAAAAAGCGACAATTTGTACTGGACCAACAATACTTTGTTCATTGCATAGCATCAATTTGAGCAACGTTAAAAGCATAATGATAACCAAATGTATACACTAGCCATACCATCTACTAGACATAACATTAGTGAAGGATCAACATACCTGATCAGTCCTTTCTTCCTGACTAATAAAAATTCTATTTAAGAAAATTCACTCAATTGTTAACAACACTATTTAAGTCTATTAAATTATAAATAACTTAACTTTTAAACACTATTCTTTACTAATAACCCGTGTTGTTACTTTGCTACAATTATACATTAATATTTATTTCATTTTATTTTTTTTTTCATATCAAAATAATTAAGTTGACGACCGTCGTTGCTATATTATCACCATTGGCAATTTTCAATATGTTATTATATCAATATATTGCGTGCAACGTTCCTAAAGAAATCGTTTTAACAATATTTGTAGGCAAGTTGCATTTTTATTACATTTAACTACAATTATATTTTTGTAAACTCAGTTTAGAGAGTATAACATACAAATAAGTACATAATAAAACTAAAGAATCACAATATAAAAAAAGAAAAATTATTATACAAACAAAAAATATTGGGTTTAAATTAACATTTAACAAAACGTAAAATATTAATTACAATAAAAAAAAATATATATTATAAAATTGAAAAAATTGGCTATTTTGTTGTAACTTTTATTATTTTCTTTAAAGATTCTAAAAATAGTAATTAACACCTTAATGTATACCATTGTATTTTTCATTAACAAATAGATAATTCTATAATGTGTTTAACTGACAATTCTAAAAGTATCTAAACATTACTCTTTGCATTTTCTATTGTCTAAGTGCAAATTAAAAAAATGATTCATACATTATAACATTTGGCTAAGATACTATTACATCGTATTTTATGTGTCGTAATTCAATCAGTATTTGAACATTTAAATATATGTATCTGTTAGTGTACAAGAAAAATTCTACGTCTTGATTATTTATTTCAGAGAATTCCACAAAATCCCTTTATAAAAATCTATCATAATTTTCAACATCATATTTTTCATATAGAGAACAAGATCACAGCATTAAAAATGATACAATAATGTACCGTGTAGTATTTGGTTTTAAATTCAATATTAAAAATAAGCTGCCCCAGTTAAAATATATATAAAATGTATTTTAATAACTATTACTCTATACTGTTTAAATAACCCCTTTCTATTTTATTTACTAAGTAATAATTTAATATATAAATGCTCTTTGACTAAGTTGAAGAATATTTAAAGCTGCTCAGGAAACAAGAAAAATATAAATAAAAAGAAATAATTGATAACGAGATGTAAATTTTTTAAGAATCTATTTAATAGAATATTATTTAGAGAGGGGTCATTTATATATATTTTTTTATAAATAGATAATATTGACGTAAAGATTATAATATTGTATTTTTTGATGCTACGTAAAATAACAACTTTAAAAACGTTTTATATAGGTTTTTGTTCTATAATGTTTTGCAAATAATTTCTAAAATAATAAAATTAAAAAAGGATTTTGTCAAGAAATTCGCTGAACCTATTTAATGCATTTTTACCCATGAACAATTGGCAGAATGATAATTCCTTAATTCATTATAATTATTTTTTTTATACTATTCCATCGTGTGATTAATTATCTATTATTTGCGTTAAAACTGTATCTATTTGCTGAGTGTTTTTCTTGAAAATTCATAAACCGTATTAATTTCAATTGTATAATGATATTTATGATCACGAAAATGGAAAAACGTATTATTTTGTTATAGTGTTTAAAAAAAATCAGGAAGTCCCATTATAAATTTATAACATATATGTGACAAAACAGGATAATTTTAAATATAAATATGTATTTTACAACATAACAATATCAACAAACAATACAATTATGTATAATTACTATAGGGACAATCCATTTAATCACATCAAATGTGATACTTCCCTTATGTATAATTTAGCACCAATAGATGATATAACATTCAATAAATAATATTTAATTGATGTATACTAAATATTTTACGATAAAAAATAAATAAAATATCATTTTTATATATAATTTCTTTTTCAAATAAACAGTCGGTACCTAACGTTCCTAATTTTTTAAGTAGAAGAAATTTTGAAGGTGATATAGCTTAGGCACTGGCTAAATTGACTATAACGAGTAATATAATTTTTGAAACTTCCCATAATAGCCTCAAAGATTCATTCTTTATTAAGTACCTATCAATGTCCAAGGTAAATTTCATATAAAGTTTATGAAAGATAAGGTACAATAAATTCGTTTATTTATGAATTTACAGTCTTAATATTGATTCATCAAGACTCGATCGTCTCGAAATTATAATTCCATTCCAACCGAAAAATATTCGATTTCCAAACAAAATTGGAAACATGAGATGATATTCTTATTTTAAATATTAATTTAACATTTTAACTACATGGGCTTAAAAGGTTTCTAAACACCTAAAGAAGCATCTTAAAGTAGATGTAAAATTCTGAATAATGAAAAATAAACGAATACATAAACATTCTTTGAAATTTCTTATTTTTCTAGTAGTATTAGATAGATATACAACTTATATTACAAGTAAAGGCACACTAATAGGCAAGCGTTTTCTGGACCTACAATTTCTCATAATGGAAAGAGCTTTAAGGTTTACAAATACAACACTTCGATTTTACTAAACATTTTGATCAAACCATTTCAATTTAATTTATCTTATAAATTTCAATCGATATTTCATTTAGAAATAAACCAAAAGGTGTACACTATCTTTACATGGAAGACTACATTTGCCTCTAAAAACTAAATAATTTATAAGTACCATTTCTTATTTGATAATTAAGGCATTTTGAGTTCTACTAAAAATAGAATATACAAATCATCTCATGATTCCTGACAGTATAATCATTCATTTTCGAAGCACCTTGCTAAGATCACTTTCGCAACAACGATGTTGTTGCATTTACATTTATATTTACATTTCAATAAATTTTAACATTTCGTTAACATTGATTAAATGTACACCAGATATGTTTGTATACAATCTTTGTACACAAACTGGTCTAACTTGAAGAAATTTAACTAGTCTCGCTTTTAAAATGTTATATTATCAATAACATCATATATGTTATATTTGAAAGTCTACTGTAATTATATTGTCTTTGACAGAAATACTCGTAAAATTCTTTCCCTACTTATTGTATTTATAAACAAATCTTATTGTATCGGTAAATAAAAACTGAAAGATGCATTCTAATTTTAATGATTTGGGGCCGTTTTATCTATACAGGAACTGAATTCTTAAACTATACTATAATTTCGCTGTGAATTAGACTTTTAAGCTAACCCTATAGAAGATTTTACTATTTTCACTATGAATGTTTACGTGGTGAATATCATAAAATTGTAACCGCGTCAAATCCTTTCTTGTAAAAATATTTTTTTCTTTTTATTTTAAAAATAATTTCATTAGTAATGTGTTGAAGCCAGGAGACTCTATCATTGAATATCTTCAATATATCTCTTATTGATACTCATCCGTTCATTCGCGTTATTCGGTTACTACATCTCTTTACAGTAATGATAAAAAACATTTACAACCAAATATTTTCAACATTGATAAAATATTTTAAATTAATCTTAACAAATAAATAATAGAAATATAATCATAGCCTGTGTTGAGTTTTACTTCGAAGAAGTTAATTATCATTTATAATCTAAAATCACTAATAAGGCAAGTTAAATGAAAATGCATTATACACCACTACACAACGGCTTTTTTAAGTATATATTTTTTTTGTAATAGACATTTCTTGTCTCTTTTACGATTTACGTAAGGCCACGTGTGCACTGGTAATTTTTGTCACAGTGGTTTATTGTTTCTGTTACCGTGCTCTTATAATTTCTACGGAAATCGGCTAACTGTCACGTAGGTATTCAAGCGCGCGCGCCACAAACCGCAAGGATTCCAAAGCACGGTGACAAAGGCTCAATTTACACTGCCACGGAATAGAATGGAAGCATTTTTTGTAACGAAAATAGCATATTAAACTTTACGTTAATTAACCTACAAACTAAATACGAGCAAAAAAAATAGCCTCGCGTCTCCCGAGGAAACGTCGCGGATTCTAGACGCGTAACCTTTTCTTTGATCATATTTAGTTAAAATGTTATACAATTAACATAAAGTTTTTAAATGATATACGGTACAAAGAGGAGATACTTCTATTTCATTCTATGGCGATGTAAATTAAGCCAACAACAAGTCACAGTGAAAAAAACTCACCATTGCCTGCGTAGAATAAGAGTTTATATAGAGTGAAGTACCTCTATGTCAACTCTTGATATCCAATAAGACTGCCATTGTTAAATCTTCCGTATCTACTAACTTATCACTAACTAATTCAGTTCAATGAGAATTGTATTTAATCAGCACACAAAAAGTAATCAAATAGACTACCCTTGATTTAATAATCACCATGAGTAAGTTACTTTGTACCCTGAAATTTTGTAAGTAATAAAATTAAGTAACAAGTACGTGCAAAATAACAAGTAAATCATAGTTATTAAAAAAAATCTCTTTCTAATTCAGCACTCTGTGAAACAATGGAACAAACATAAATAAATAGTTAAATATAACAACAAACGACATTGTTTATCAACAAACTTAGTGATACTCTTGAAACTTAGAGCTCGAAAGTACTCAATCGCGATCTACTACTGCATTAACTACTCACTATTTATTGTTTAACTAACCGTAGGATAAAACATTCCTATTTTTAATTATCAGATCTTATATTTGCATCGTTTTTAATTTGATGATGTATACGAACAATTAGGACTCCTGTTTAGCCATTTGTTCGTTGGCATTTGGCTGATTTTTGTGTATTATTTTTAAATGTGCAATCATGTTGTCTTTCCTTGTGAACTCTTTAAAACAAATAGGACAAGGGAAAACTTTGACATCCTTCTTGTGGGATGTAACGTAGTGCCTACAGAAGTTACTGATATGAGTGTATACCCTCCCACAAATCTTACACCTGAACACGTTTTCTCCCTCCTTGATGCAATAATCTCTAACTGATTCGTTTGTCTCCTCGTGGTAGTTACCGACGCTACCAATGTTATTTTTCCTAATTGGTGAGGGAAATATACGTTGTTCCCAATTAGTTTGCGCTAATTCGGACATTTCGTTGTTAGTCAAATTCAAGTTACCCTGTTCCAGTTCAGCTGCAAACAATTGAGTTGCTAGGGCTGGCATAAGTACAGTTTCGGGTGGGTACTTGTCGAAAGAATTGAGTGCAGGATTCAAGTTGGAAAGACCAGATAGCTGATTGAATAAGTTTCGGGCTCTAATTTTGGACATTTGGGGTAGCAATTTTTTACTATTCTTTGGCTTTAAGTTACGACCTAGTCTGTTCTTATCGTCTGTATCTTTGATGGGGCCGTCTTGTGAGTTAGAATTTTCGCGGCTTCGGTCTGGTTTGTATTTATACTCTATAGGTTCATTGTAACCGTCCATAGCGTCAGAAGAGGGTTCTTGTTTTATGGATCCATTTTCAATAGACAGAACTGGCCCGTTACTAGGGTAATTTTGGTGCACTTCCTCTTTTGGTGGTTTATCGGGATCTGAAATTATAATTTCAGGTCTCAGTAACGTTTTATATATTTCTTTTTATATATGATTTTAACTATATTGGAAATATTTTAGCTTCATGTACCGTGGTCCATATTTATCAACGCAGACTTAATTAATTTTTGATCGCTAGAATATTTCCAATTGCTTTTTATGAAGGAAAGCTATTGGGAATAAGCCTTGTTTGTTTTCCCTTTTCATAATTTATATAAATATCTTTATAAGGAAGCTTTAGTAGAAAGAAATTATCACTTAAACCATATAGGACCACACCGGATCGCCCCTGGCCATTCCTCTAATAGCTCTCCCCAAAAGCAGAAAAGCAAGCAATAGTTATTGTTGTTTTATAGAAGAAATAAGCATCTGTTACTCGATTGTATCAAAAATAATTTGATAGATTATCACTTACCCCTTTTGATAAACTTTAAATATTATAAATAAAGTACGTATTCAATATACACTTCACTTAATCACTTATCGTACCTAACATCAAAGCTTATATCCCATTAGCTTTTCCCTTAAAATCTTTTTCATCTAAATTTAACTTTAAAACGGTGTTAGATGATGGAAAGGAAGATTAATATATTTACAAAAGACAAGCAAATAAGTATCAAAAATTTTAAGATCCGCATCCGCATTCTAAAACAGTTTACAAAAGTATTTTGTACATTTTTCTGATAATTAGCATTTTTATTCCAATTTTAGTTTACTATTATGACGAGATTTCTTATTTAATTAGAAAGGAGACTAATCTCATTGATTGGATCGTAACTAGGAATCTACGTACTCGATTTAGTAGGAAAACGTACCTGCAGACTCGGAGTCCTTGCCAGCTGGCGCTTCCGTAGATTGGGCGTCATCGCCCTCATCAATCAATAATGCCTCACCAGTCTCCTCGCCACCTGATGTCGCGCCATCCTCAGCATTGAATCCATCCATAGACATTTTAACTTCCAACATTTCAGGAGATCCTCTAATTAATTGATCGCCAGCGGGTCGGTTGGATGCGTGCGAGGCAGATTCTGGCACAAATTCACCAGGTGGACTCGCTGCTGTGTTTAAAGCGTCACTTGAACTTCCACTTAGTTTTCTCGGTCGCCCCCTTTTTCTTTTCGGTTGCATTAACGCATTGCCCAATAGAGGCATTAATAAATTTGGGGGCGCTCCTCCACTAGGCATTCCTGAGGCAGGCCTTTTCTGATGCATATATGGATGTAGCCTGTGTAACTGAGGTGGAGGCGTGTGTGCAGTAGCATTTGTCTGTTGTTGGATAAGAGAGTTTGTGAGAGCTGGAATATCGCATTTCTCCTCATTCACTTCTGTGAGGCCTTTTATTCTCAAACTCTCAGCGACTTTCAAGAACGCCGTTAGCCTTTCTTGGTCCACACTCACCTCTCCTCTGTACATGAAGTCCAATAAACTCTTCATGTCTGAATAGGGTACATCCTTTAGTATTACGATTGGATGTTTTTCTTGATGATTGACAAACAATGCTTGAAAGTAAGGACTGCAAGCAGACAAAACCATTTTGTGTGCCTTAAGCAACTGTCCATCCACTGCCAATGTTACGTCAGTGAACGTTTCTGCGTGTAATAGTTGATCAAACACAGACAGCATATTCGATTGGTGGTTATTCCACCGTAAACAAAACCTTTGCGTCGCCATCTTGCCTCGTGTTTTCCTTCTTTGGAAGATATGATCTTTACCAGTCAGGGCTTAAAAACTAATTTACCAACAATTTCTCAATGTATACATAAGTATTCTCACTTGTTCCATGAACAATACAACAAATCTTCAACAATAGATAATGTTTACTTCTTAATAGCCATTTTCAATTTGTATAGCGTTAGTGTATTTTGCATGATGGGCGCGGGGAACCTGGAAACAAACATAAAAGAGAAATTAAATATGTTGTCATTATAATTACATTACGTGTTCTAAACAATAAAATATTTTGATTTGTCAATTTTGAACAAAAAAAAATAGATCAAATAATTTTCAGTAAAAACAGAAAGTCGTAAAATGCTGATTTCTCTACTTTCATGTGAGTCGGTATATGATTACAGCATTAGAGCGATACAACATCTGGTTGTAATTCTGTCACGCTATTATCCTCCGAGAGAATTCACGCGATATTTTCTATGTGGCAGATGATGTTTTTATAAATCTTAAACAAAGATATAGATAAATATTTAGGCATAAGTTAAAATCAACTACCGTTTGTATAAACCCAGGTTTAAGTGCAGTAAATAAAAACTATTTTGAATGCTATGAGTTTATTGGATACTCGACAAGAATTTTTTCCATTATAATTCTTTGCACCTATTCTAGAAATATTAAGATTGGTTATTATCTTCAACTTGTATTAAACGTTGTTTGATTATAATTTAAAAATTATAAAGTAAATAATTTGCTAAAAGGAAATAAGAAGAAATAAAGGGAGAAATACTACTGAGAAAATTTATATTGCACATTAAATCACAATATGACAGTTCTACTAACATATGAATGAATCTGCTCTCTGTAACTATTCTATATTTATGTGCATACGAGTATGATTATATAAATAACACGCGCTTTGTACCCTATAACCCTATTCCAAGGATCTACAACATATCAGAAATGTCCGCTTACTGTACATTGATTACTTGGTACCTATAAATATTATAATATATTATTTGAGTCTATATAACAATAAAATGAATAACTTAGTCAATTTCGTATAAAATGTAATACAGAACTTGGATATTAAATATAATATTTATTTTATATCGTTAATAAGTAAGTTGTATTATAATATAATTATATTTAACGTGTGCTCAATATTGTAATAAAACTATTGCGATTGTTTATTTCTTTGATTACTTGGAATCACTATAATCAGTATATTAAATATTCGCGACTTTTAGACAGTTAGTTATGTATATTATTGAAAAAATACTAGGTACTTCGATACGTTTCAGTTCCTTGTTTCAGGCGTTGACTGAGATGTTGACCGTTTTAAAATAGTTATAATTTAAAATAATCATAGCTACCTATTATATTTGTAATTTTTTCATTCATTGAGCTATATTTATATAAAAGAGAATATACGTTCTAAATGATATTTTTGTTATAAGGCCACGCCAAGGAAGTATAGGGGTGATTATAATACATATATTTTTTTAAACTAAACAGCGAGATAGTAAGTCTTATATATGCCATCGTATATTCCAGATGCTATATCCTATATTAAAAATAGCACCTAAAATTGACAAGAAGACGGATGAAATTGCATTTTCTTTGCCGTCATCGAACAACTGGTAGAGAATGTTGTATGACATTAAATCTGCCATTTATTAAATGATTTATTAAATATTAATTAAATGACATTAAATCTGCCATTTATTGTATTATAATTATGATTAAATATACAAAATGGTGATTCTTGCAAATGAGATGAAACAAAACAAATGATACTATGTTTCGAGGAATAGAATGCTAAAATAGTTTTTTTTTATTGATATGCTTATTAAATAGTTCCTTAGAGAGTGCAAAGCAAAACTCGACAAATTTGAAGTCTATGATAGTGCGGAAATTAACAAGATAAAACGTAAAATATCGCGTTAGTGGTTACAGTGTTTAAAAAATTTTACTTACTATTGTTTTACACGTAATTATACGACATTAAGACAGTAAACAAAAATATTTCTTAAGTTAGGTAAATGTTACAAAGTAAGTTTTGAGAAATGATTGTACAACCAATTGAATTTAATTAAACCAAAGACACATGGCCTTATCATTGAAAAAATATTTATTCTAGGGAACCTTAAGTATTAAATGTTTTTGCATAATATTCATGAAAACCTGGTGTTTACCAATTAACCATTTAACAAATGAACCCAGGAGATCAACTAATTAATTAAACATGTGATTGTGAAATTGTCATTATGTTAGCGTAATCAACTGAGAATGTGATTATAGTAAATTACAGTTTCGCCTATTTTTATTGATGACATATATAATCATGACATAAGTGACATATAAACCTGAAAATCATGATTTAATTTGATTTACATTTAATTGTAGGTACTGTCTTAACCCGCGTGCCTCCCACGCTTCACTGCGTTGAATGTGTTTGTTCCCTTGGGAACTTTGGTATAAAATTGTGTGAAAATTGAACTTGTAATTCCTTTGAAGTGCTTAAGATTTTTTCGAATTTTACGGACTGGAAAGTCAAAACCAAAAAGTTTATATCAATTTCCAAGATTCCAAGTTCAAACTCGACTTCCAAAATAAATTAAATCTTTAATAGTAACCTTATTTATTCAACGCTCGTTAGGGCTTGCTTGAATTTCTAAAAATCTTTTTATGGTGCTTACTCACATTACCTAGACTCCTGTTTAAATATTTTAATTCCTAGATCGAATAAATTGTGCAAATATATACACGGAATATGAATTATTACGAAAGTAAAAAATCTTTTAAATTGAAGTATTATTTGTTGACTATTTATCGTTAATATTATTTGATACTACTCATTGAAAACCGTCAAATCGTGAATGAAACTGCAATGTTTGTATCCAACGGAACGCATCTTATGCATATATTAAGATTTCATTTTCTTAATGTTTAAGTACTTTATTTTCGGCATTTGTTTCCTAATACCACGGAAATGCTACCACAACTAATCAGAGACGGTTCACAATTTTACAGGTGTTACATTATATTATACATTACGAACCATAATTTGATAGTTTTGAACTAAGTATAATCAGAAAACCATTTTTTCGACGTGTAATAAAAACTTTTTAGAAGTACTTTTGTTTAATTTTGTATTTCGAGAATACTTTTTTTTGTTTGATTGATATAAACATCATGACTGCAATGACTCCTATGACATGTTTATTTGGTATGAAACCAGTTATTTCAAACAAGTCAACTGCAATCGTCGTTCGTGACGGTAAAATAAAATTTTACCTTTTTACCTTGTTTTATCGTAATTTTAATCGAAATAAATCAAAAAATTAAAACTTATAGTATACGTCTATATAATCCGCAAACAAATATAAATTTTACAAAAAATTCAATGCCCTTTAAACGATTCTGCAAGTGTAACACTGTAAAAAATTTCGTTGAGTCAATATTCACAAATAACAGTCTTTTTGTGACGTGACAAAAACTATATTAGCATTATATTCGTTTGTTCATAATAAAAACGTTTAATTAAATATAAAAAGAGTTTTTAATTATAACAGATGCCCCATGAGTCAACATTGAAGTTTACTTTCAGTTCCTTATAAAATAGATTAGTACAGAAATTGAAGTGAATCATTAATCATATCGAAAAAGCTTGTAAACTTTTACCTCATTTCATGCTTATGCAGTATTTAAACAAGATAAATTGCACGATAAAAGTCAATTGATATTTCTGAAGTTACGTTGATGACGTTTTTATTAGCCTACCTACTCAATTATTTTAACCCTCAAATGCATATTTTTATAATTAAAAATCATATGGAGCGGTATAGTGAAAAAAGACTACGGAAAAGTTTAGTAAAATTGTATAGGTGGTTATGTAAACCTAGCTGCATCATGATGTATTTAAGGGTTAAACTGATATCCAAAAACATAATCAAAATCCTCTTTTCAAAACGTATGTTAATTAAACGAAACTTAATTTATTTAGTTAGGTATAATGTAGTTAATTATTTTTATTTTTGAAATTATCTATAATTATTGTTAAATATTTAAATTTAGTTAATAAGATACTAGTTTGTGATAATTAAAAATTCAATCCCGTGATTTTCAGCTACGAAACAGTCTACTTATATCTAAATATCGATAACTTCTTTCTATATTAAGCAATGCAAGTAACAAATTATTTATCTTTTAATTTTGATAAAAACAACAAGTTTCATTGGAAGTATCCAATACCTAATTTAATCAAGGTTGAAAAAAACGAGGGCGCCTCTAGCGACGGGAGGCAAGGCAAGATCTGTGCAGCGAGGACGGGCGCACTGCAGTGGGCAAAACATACATGCAATCACAGACTAATTAACTATAGATATCTACGCCTCACATTGGTTATGTGCCTATATCAACATTTCAAAACAAAATCATCGCCCCTAAAATATAAAAAGTTACGAATACAAAACATAAATCCAATAGGATTCCAATAAGAATAATCCTGGATTATTTTCATACAAACACGATTCCGTCCACATCCACAGGTACCGACTGCTGACCACTAACGTTATCGCGGCACATAAACGAGCGCTCAAATTATTACTACGCACCCAGTCGAGCGCGTTACATTACGTCATCACAATGGCATTATTACCGATGATATCCACATAAATTCGGCTGATACGACGAGATAAGCACCATTTTAACGCAAATATATCACTGCACTAGTATAATGGAACATACCACACGTATCTGCACCACAATTAACTCGACCCTTTTATGGGAATGACGAGCAGCCCTTCCGCCATAGTCTGAGACCGCGTTTACGCCGCACCCCGCTCACCCGACGACTGACGGCCGAAGCCCGCAACCCCGCGCCACGAACGCCGACTCGCTCCGCGACTCGAATATCTCTCACAAAAAAATACGCCGTCATCATCGAAATGGCGGCAGCGGATATATTCAGCGCAGGGTGCACGGTAAAATATTGATTTATTGAAATTTATTGATTTCCTCTCTACGCGGGAGATTTCGCCCCCGCTGTTCGCGCCAAATTCAAACGACCGTTTCGGGGTGAGATCGAGATTTTCAAAGTGTAAAGTGTCTCTTGTTACTATGTCTTACTATATGATAAAAATGGTTTATTTTGAATATCGATGATAGGGGTGGATTAATTCAAATTCATCGGGATACCGATGTCCTGATTACCATATCCGTGTATAACGTACATATTCTTTTTTCTATTTTTATCAATGAATCATACTGCTATAATGGCTTCCAACTAAACATCCTTGTAATTCCAAGAGATAATTGAAACGTGGTTAACTTGTCGCTTGTGTACTTTTATTTACTTTACCGTTATAAATATCATAAAAAGAGTAAAGCTCCGCCTATTATAAAATGTTTGATAGCATTCCAATATTCGTCACTGTATTTTCTTAAACGTACCTTGGCATAAACGTGAAAAGGGATGAGTTTTCCACGTGAAAAACATCAACCCATCCGTGTTGTCGCCATGTCAGCAGAGTGCTCCGTCTCTTTTGCTCACGGGCGGGGTTGGAAGGACGCCCTCCTCGCGGCGATTGCCGCCGGAGACGACCGAGCGTCGCCACTTTTCGCAACCGAATCCACCCGAGTCCACACGGAAAATAGAACGCGGGGCGCACTAGTATTTTTAAGTTTTAAAAAAATATATACACTTCCTTTTTTAAACACTTCAACAGTACCTACAGGCCAGTATTTTTTTATTTATTTTTAGAAAATATTCTTTTACACTTGTTTGAAAACATTTATATTGATTACAACAAATTAAGGAGATCAGGATACGAACGATAAATAGCGCGCGCGGTGTTACTCGGAAGTATTTTTAATAAAAATGGCCTGCTGCCTCGACGGGAGGAGTGGCAATGGGCAATGAGGTCGGTACCCTCTCTCTGGCACCCGCGCGCGCCCCTCCCTGCCTCGCGCGGCACAGGGTTAGAAAGTTTCAAAAGTGAATCGTGGAAAACGGACCGAGTAACGTCCTGGCTCTCGTACCGTGATTTTTGAATAGGGACTCGTTTATTTATGTCTTATTTATGTTTTACATGATTAATATAATTTTATAGAACAGGGTTGACTAATCTGGTTAAACCCACTCAGTGTACTCAGGTCTTTTAATATTTTTACAACATTAATGATTCATATTTTTAAAATTATATATTTAGTAATACCAGTTTGGATGTTACAGGAACTAATAAGGCTAAACTAATTTGTTGCACCGAGATTCTTGACACCATAGAATAACGAAATTATATCAAAGTTACGTAATTTAATGTAGATAATATAAAAAAAATCCTTACATTCTTCTGCTGTACAAATTAAAATGTAATTTTCCTTAATTAAGGAAATTGTCATATAATCATTGACTTTAAATACTAATTAAAATGAAAACTTCTAACTAGCTATTAATTTAACATTTCATTCGGAACATGTTATTTATTCTTAATCGAATTTTAATTAGACATTTTAAAATTTTTGTTATGGTTTTTATAGGTAGAAAATTATTTTTTAATATTTTTCCATGATGCTTACAAAGATGGGCACGGAAATCCATAATCACTAAATATTAAAGACCATATTAGGTTCCGTAAAAGACTAAAGAAGTAATTAAAAGTACTAGCTTCCTTAATAAACGTTTCTAAAATAATTAATGTACCCATTATGATATATAAATCCTCCCCCTATACATTACCTAAGGAAATGACTAACAGTCACAAAATTATTACCTTTATAAGATACTATGAATGGATTAAATTTCTATATATCAAAATTAATATTCCACAATACTTTATGAAGTGGGTTGACCATTTTACCTTACCATTCGATATTTTTATAACATGAAGACAAATAGGCGTACAACTCCATAGCTTTTCATAAACAGTATCTAATAAATTCATTTAAAAAAATGTGAGTCCTAGCATTATATTAAATAATAAGTCAGACCTTACAACTAAACTCTACCACATGCTTTCCATGTGTTTCATCCTATTTCCTTCGAACAATTGTGCTTTCCAAATGATAAAAGAATTTTTCAATGACGTCTGCTAACCTGTTAATAGCAGCAAATAGTTGTATTGCGTTCATTCCATTACAAGGAAATTGCTATTTTTCAGCGACAACAGAAAGAAATTGATAACTCGCAACGCCAGCTCATAGAAGTTTGGCGCGAACGACTTCCTTAAAAAATCGCAGCAAAATAAACTACTAAATCAAAAGAGTTTAATTTTGCCAATCTCAAAAGAAACTCCTTAGATACTGCTGGTCTGAAAAAGTACATTTGAATATAGAGGAATTTCACTCATGTTCAATAGAGTATTCATTTAAGGCACTGCAAGTTACGGGTCAAATAATTAGAGTAAGCATAATTTGTTTGGCACGCCATGTCAGTGGCGATTATGCAAACAAAACAACCTAAAAGCTAACCAAAGGATCAGTGACCAACAATTTACTATTGAGTTCTTTCGTGCCCCGAAAAGTGTTAAGTCGTTAGTTCCAGATACTTCGGCAGCCGTTAGTACTCACGTGAGTAGTGGTTTATGGGTTGTTTTCCTTGTTTTTTTATTCCACGGGAAAAGTCTGTACCATTGTAGTGAGAATATTATTAGCTAGATGATAATCACTGCCTGTAAATATCTCTCTTATTATACTAATCAAGGAACGCGCGAGACTCTTTTTTTATATTAGTCCCGAAACATTTCCTCAAACTAGACTCATCTACCCGAAATAGTCTTACCTACCTCTGTTATTCTATCCTACTTTATTTTATTTCTTAAGTTAATAAGTAGCAGTATATGCATTGACTTTTATAAAAGTTCTGCGCTCTTCTATCTATAATGCACAAACCTGCAGTTTGTTTACTCAATTGGTATGGTTAATGTATAAATTGCTACCTTGCAATAAGGCCGCCTCCTGCATCTATGTTACTTGTTATATATATGCGCTTCAATGTTTACGTTTACTGCTATAAAGTATACATTCATTCATTCATAAAAATAAAATCAACTGTATACTCACCATGTTGATTATAAATCCTTATAAAAGATACCTTTCCATCTCTGTATAAAACATGTATAAATTTTTGCTGATTTACTTTCCAATTCTTAATGCTAATAAAGTACCTTATGATCTGCAAGCGATATCGTATATTTCCCATTTTACAATAACTAATCTAATAACAGAAAAAAATAAAATAATATACCTCTAAGAGTTGAAAGTCTGTTTCAAAAGTTCGTCATAGTTAAAGATAAATAAAATAAAGATAAATAAATAGTTAAAATTAAATAGAAAAACATTAATCATTGCATATAAGCACTAAAAAGATATAAATAAATGTATGCTTTAGCGTTTTTAGTGATTGCTGTCCAGAGTAAATAACACGCGGCCGGAGTCTTGAGTAGGTAATAACTATTATATAAAAGTACATCTTTTTTATCGGACATAAGTATTTATAATACCTACGTTTTTTAAACCACTAACCGTGCCTTCACTGGTTCGAGAATAATAAAATCAACAGGAATCTCAGTAGGATTGCTTACAAAGCTATATTTTAATCTATGTGTGTCCATTGGGAAGTAAATATTTTATAATTTATTTTTATACATATACAAACAGTTTATACAGCAAGCCAATAATATAAATTAGTTAATGAAGGCAAATGAATGGGAGCATTTCCCTTCATCAACAGATTAAAACTAAATATCGATTGTAGAAATTTAATAGTTTGTTGGCTGTACCGACTATTTTCATTACATTTAACTTACTAAAAAAAATGTATTTAAAAAGTCAACATACATTATTTAGTCATACGTATTAATGAACACGTAAAAATCTAATTAGCACTTATGAATATCTAATCATGGTAAAATACTGATACCTACAAGATAATGATTATTGAAGATTATTAAAATCGCAATTGTATAATCATAAACAATCAATTAATGACGTCATATTTCAATTAACTAATTTACTTTCGATATATTGATGAACAATGAGGTTTTGGAGCACTAAATTAAGTAATACGATAATGCAGTATGCTATTATTTCGAATATTTAAAAAAGTGAATTTCAATAAGTCTATGAAAGCAGACGTAAATCTCTGTTTACCGAATTTTCTAAATGGCTTATTTCTTTTTTTTAAGCTAGTCGGACTAATGCCCTGAGGGTTCGACATACAGCCAGACACATGGACCGTAAAGTGATCTTATAAGTGTTCCATCTTCTATTTTTTAACATACGGAAACCTGAAAAGATTGAAATGGTCATGCTCAATAATATATTCTGTTTATAGTCATAAGGATATTCAACCCAAAAAATATTACGTCACGTCGGGTGGCATCACATTTTTAAAGTATATAGCCGGTAATAACGTTGAGAATATTAAATGGACATAAAACATCAAGGCACTTTTATTTATACTAAATTTGATTTACTTAAAAATACTGTTTTCATTATCAGCCCTTTTACGTCCAGACTGCAGGGGCTCAGGTCTTCCTTATGGATGGTTAAGGAGGATCACCCTTCACGCTGGCCCAATGCAGCTGGGGTCAATGGCTTTACTTGCCTTCTGAAGCAAGGAGTAACTCGATATGATAATTGTAGATTACCCATCCCGTGACCGATCCTTGCGAAAATTGCTTAACAACAACGATCGCAGGCTGCGGCGCTAATTCACTAAACCACCGAGCTCCTCACTACAAAGGTAAATAAGGGAAACCCCTATAAACTTAAATGGTGTCGGTTTGTTGGCACAAATCTTTAGTTATCTACTATAAGTAATTGATAAATTTTGCATTCATAAATGCTCTATGTTTCAATATCATCACTAGCCTATTGATGCCCACTGCTGGGGCTTTCCTATGGATGGATCGATTAGATTCTCTTATCTAATCGAATAGGGGGAATGGGCCATAATCCACCACACTGGCACAGTGCGGATTGGTGAGTGTTAACGACTACAGATGCAGCCGAAACCAATGGTATAACGTGCCTTCCGAAGCATAGAGAAGTTCGAGATAATACATTTTTGGCCACCCATCCCGTGAGCGACCCTTGTGAAAGTTGTTTAACAACTGTATTACAGGTCGAGCGCACTAACCATTGCACAATTGAGCTCCATATTTATCTCATAGAAAAATATTTTAAAAATCAACTGCAGCCGCAACTCTAAAGCTCGACTCTGTAATTTTAAGAGAATATCTTAAAATTACTTATTTTAGAAGACAGACTTTTGGCTTCTATCAAACTACAGTATCAATTCTGTAAACATCAAAGATGACAGAAGAAGTAGGTATACATAAGTACACTTATACTTCGCAGATTGCATGTGAAAACAAAGTATACAAAACCTAAAATAAATTTGAGAGTGTTTCAAAATAATTTCCGCTATTATCAATCTCGAATGATATAAGTCAATATGTTTTTCACAACTCAAAAAATATACCGCGTTATCAATAGTAAGGATAGGTACCGACCCGATCGCATCTTTTTGCGAATTTCTCTGTTTATCCAACCCACTATGATAAGGCAATATGTCTGGGCCGTTATCTGGGCACTCCCACCCCGTGTCATGTGGATGAGAGCCATGTTGCAAAGAGTTGTGTTAGCTATCAATCAATATATTATCAGTGTGGATTTATCTCAGCATATCCTGTTTCGCTGTCTTTTGTCATTGTAGAAATCGATAGATTTAACTAATTTAACCCTCATTTGCCCACTTTCCTATTAGTCACAGTATAAAAAATCTCTTAAATACCAAGCATATTAAAGTGTAGCGAAAGATAACATAGAGCCTACTGTTTTTGTTTCGAAACAAACAAATTTCGTTAAATTTCGAATATATGCGTCAGAGACAATATCAGCCCCCTTACTCTCGAACGCAATCGCGATCGATCGATAGGTAATACCTGCTTTACCTCCGTTGCATCATAAATTTTTGGAAAATGGGTTAGTCTGTAGTTTTATTAGTGTTTCGAAAATAGATGAAATTTCGTTTTCAGAGACACAAAGTAGCCTTTCTGATATATCGATTGATAAATAAACGAATTGCATCGAAATTGTTAAAAGAAATCGATACGTTGCTGTTTCGGTGCGATAAATTGATTAGGAAATTTACCTATACTTATTTTTATATTTCAAATTGTTCGTACAAATACAATTGTTGCGTAAAATATAAATTTTGATGGTTTTTATCAAAACTCTTATTAAAAAACAGATTCTCGGAAATATAAATACAAAAATTTCCAAATGTGTGAAACCAAAGTTAGTTTGAAGTATATAAAAGACTTCACAGATTGATAAACGTTATCGTTTTATATCATCTCAATCAGTTCAGTTACACGACTCAGTTACACTGGCCCGTGACAACCGCGAGCGGAGTGCGGGGCTATTTCTATACCTCCCTTTCATTGGTCGGTCATTGCTTTATTGACAAACGAGATGAGCATACAGACATTTCCTACATTCATATGCTGACTCCATCGACCA